GTAGCACCAGGCGCCCTCCTCATCCCCGTCTGGGTTGCGGCAGAAGTTCTCCGCCAGGGGCACGGCCGGGTTGAAGTCCTGGCCCTCGCTCAGAGCCTTGGCCTGCTCGCTGCCCCAGGCAAGGCAGCGGGACCCGTGTGTGGTCACCGCCAGGCGCCCCCGGTACTGCCGGCCGCGGTCTGGGATGCACGTTTCCGGCCCGGGCGACTGCCTGGGGGTGGAGCCTCCCGACCGCGGGATCAGTTCCGCTGTGACTCGGTCCTGGCCTGGTGGGCGAGGAGACACGGAGGGCAGAGAGCGTGGGACCCCGGTGAAGCCAGGCAGGATGGGAAGCTCTGCCCCGTGACCTTTGACCTATATGATGTCAAGTCACTTAACCTCTCCGAGCGCAGTCCGCTTGCCTGTGAAAGGGATCACTAATGAGGTTTTTTTTTTGCAGGGTTGTTGAGATTTAAACAAAAGATCTGGCGCACGTGTCTGGGGCGTGACTAGCCAGGGATAGTACCGAGGTTTCACCTCCTAGCTATCTGTACTCCATTGCTAGTGCCCGCCCGGAGTCTAAGGGATTCTGTGTTTTCACAAAGGCCCATAGGACAGATAGCTGGATCCACCGAGGATGGCAAAAGAGAGCAACCCATGTTTGGTAGATTGAGTTACTTGCACTAATTCGTTACCCCTGCCTGAATCTCCACACCCTCTGTCCTGTTATTTAATTAATTAATTTGTCTTTTTGTCCTGTTATTTCAAAAACAAAGTGTAGCCTCCACCTCTCGACCTTGGCCTTGATCACTTGACTTGCTCTGGCCAAAGGCATGTGGGCAGAACTGACTCTGCCAGTTCCGTGTGCTTCTGTTTACTGTTTGGTATTTCTGCCATCCCATGGAAGAAGCTGCAGCCTTTCTGCCTCCCTCACCTGTGGAAGAGCAGACCTGGATCCACTCACCCATGGAGCCGAGCTCAGCTGGACCCATTGTTTGAAGCGACTGAGCCCAGCCTACACCTGGACCCCACAGACACATGATCGAATGCGGCTGCAAGGAACAGAGCCACCCCAGCCTACCCCCAGACACATAAAAAATAAACGCTTACTGCCCCCGAGCTTTTGTGGTTTGTTGGTCATTTTGTGGGCTTTGCGGGAATATTGTAACTATAGCTAGCTGTCACCTGATGGGAATTAATCATGAGACTCATGCAGGGCTGGACTGTACGAGGCTTGCTGTTGGTGCTCATAAAAAGGGCGTGTGGACTGAGATGGTTAGGAAGGGCTTCCTGGAGAGAAGAAGGCCCCGAGCAGGAAGGAAAGCATATTTAGAATGAGCCACGTCCTGGATTGTAAGGAAGCAAAAGCTGCGGACGGAGAGGAGGCTGGAAGTGGACTCGCTCTGGCCTCCTGACGTCACTAACCGGGAAGTGTCAGTAACTAACCCCGGTCAGAGGGCACTGGCATCTCGATTCCCGCCCTGCGCTGCCAGCCTGCGCAGACCCATGGGCCGTGGCCGTGGGCCACAGACCGCCCCCACTCACCACACACGGGGATGCTGCACTCTTCCCTCCGCAGAGTAGGGGATGTGGTGTAGCACCAGGGCCCAGTAAGGCTGCCATCCGGGTTGCGGCAAAAATTCTCCCGCAGGTCAGCCCCCGGGTGGGTGGTAGAGTTGATTCTGGAACAGAAAGTGGCTCAGCAAGAAGCCTCCCCCGCCCCACCCCACGCCCAGCGTCTCCTCGCCCCCAGCGTCTCAGCAGACAGGCCCGCCGCCCGTCACTCACTCCGGCTTATGTGGGTAGCGACTCCTCCACAGCTGGCACTCGATGCCTGACCGGGTGACGCTCACGTTCCCGCGGTAGTTCATCCCCACGCCTTCAGCGCAGTTTCCTGCGGAGACCCCCAGCCCAGGTGTCTGACGCCGAGGACTCGGCCACTCGCCTTTCTCTCCTCGTAAAGCCCTGTTGGTCCATCCCCTCCAGGCTGCTTCTGCTCCGCGACCCTTAGCCTGCCTGTACTCAGCACTTCCTTTGTGCCCAGCAGGGCTACACTCCATTGAGCAGCAGGCGCCAAACGTTCACGGAACGCACCTGTGTGACGTCCATGTGACAGGCGCTGTGCCCAGTACCAAGGACACGGCAATGGACACGGCGGTCAGAGTCACGGTCGGTCCCTGCCCCCACGGAGCACGTGTCCAGTGGCTCCCCACAGCAGAACGAAGACGTGAACGAGGTCCTTAGGATCCGGCCCTGGTCTGCCTGTCCTGTTATCTTAGTCCTCAAGCCTAAGGGCCTTTGCACATGCTCGGGCCTTGGCCTTGGAATGCTTTCCTATTTATTCATCAGTGCATCCCACACATACAAGTAAAACTACTCCTGGGGAGTGGTCCTTGATTCTGCCAGCTAACGAAACGCTCCCTCTCCTGGAATTCTCTGGGAACCTGGAACAGAACTTTTCCATCCATTAATTTGATGTTTTGTATTTTTGCTTTCCTATGAAATTATGAGCTCCCTCATTCTCTTAAAATTCCCAGCACTTGACCATAGAGCTTGACACATTGCAGAGGTTTAGTGAGAGGGGCCTACTGTCATACTAAAGGCGTATTTGGAATGCGGTGGAGGAGGGACAGTGTGCCCGGAAGGCTCGGCAAGGTGGTGTTATTTGCACTGGTTCTTGAAGGACAGGGCAGGGTGGGGTGGTTCAGCAGTGAGGGCTCTCGGGGGGAGATAATCGTGTTAACAGGGGCCAGGATCTGACATATCTTGGCCTGTTTAGAGAAATGCTTTCAGGCAGCAGGGGCTCTGGCTTCGGGGTTGGCGCGATAGGAGAGAAGGCTAGAAGGGAAGGTTAAGGTCAGAACCTACCAAATTCACCAGGCTAAGAAGCCGGTGCTTTATTCTGGGGACAATGGGGATGGTGCTGGGGAATGAATGTGATGTTATCGAAGCTCTGCCCTGGGGGCACGGGGAAGACTGGCACGGTCCAGGGGTTGGCTGAGAATGACGCCTTAATATTAATTCATGACACGTTCATTCATTTCCTCCTCCACAATGAATCATCCTACGGATGATTGCCAGGCACACAGCCAGGGGCAAAGACGCATCCTTGACCTCAGGAACAGAAAGGCCATGTCAGCTGCCAGAGGCCACCACCCCCCCACCACTACTCTGCGCTTGTCTCAGGCTGACCCCTCATGTCCTGCACAGGGGTCTCCGCGCCCCCATGTCAGTTCCTCACCTTCCAGACATTCATTGAGCTTTTCTCGAGGATTTCTCGCCGACTCACAAGCTAGAAAAGACCCAGAGACACCACTGAGATTGAGGTAGGGACAGGACAAGGAAAGGTGGGACAGCATTCAGAACCAGAGGAATGGGCAGACGGATGGAAGGAAGGAACGAACGAACGAGGCAGGGGTGGAGGGGTGGGCAATTGGATGGACCAGAAGATTCTCTGGGGTGGAGCACTCTCCAGCTGGGGTCCCCAGGACTCCCCTCCCAGAGCAAAGTCTTCTGAGTGTTCACCTGTGTACTTGGCCCAGAACACATCCTGAAAAACAAGGCTGAGTATGAGGTTGTGGCAGGATCCCTTTTGCTTTTTATAGTCAACTTAGTCTTCTCCCTACACGTCCCCCTTTCCCATACTCTGCTTACACCCTGGGGACGTGAGGCGAGCTGCCTCTACCCCTCTGCCCTGCCGGGTCAGCCAAGACTGGAAGGGATTTCTGTGGGTGGGGTAGACTGGCGAGGAGGGGCCCAGGCGGAGCCCTGGGGAAGGGAAGGCTGCACGGGGCTCCTGGGACTCTGAGGCCCCAGCGCCCAAGGAGGGCACAGATGTCGCAGCAGAGCTAAAGCTGAGACATGTGGCCAGCGCCAGCAGCTGTAGAGAGCCCAAGGTAGACAAACGTCTAAAGACTGAGGAGCCCCCTTCCCTCGAAGCCAGACCCTGGGGCCTTGACAGAGCCAAGGCGCTGGGCCCTCCCACAGAGACTGAGCTGTCCATCCCAGCGGCCCAGTGAAGCGGGGCCCACACGACGTGATCGACAAAGAGCTGCCGTGTTCAGCCCCCTCCGTTGTGCTCCTGCAGCGGGGACCCCTTGGGGGGAGCCGGGCCCTGCCTCACCGGGGCCTCACCGTGGCGCTGAGAGACTCCAGGGCCTCGAAGGCCTCCTCGCGGCTGCAGGGCTCCTCCAGGCACTCTCGCTCCAGGTCGCCCTTCCGCAACTCCTCCAGGAAGCCCTTGTTGGCACGGCGGGCCCTCTGGAGCAGCGAGGATGCTTGCCGACGGCCCAGGAACACTGCAGCGGGAGGAGGGTGGGACAGCGGGCACCGTGGGGGCAGGAAGCAAGCGCGGCCGGCCTGCTGGCTTCCGAAACGGGGGAGGGGGCCTCCGGGACGGCGGCAGGACCCGGAAGGCGGCTAATGGCAGCCCACTAGCCCCCGCCTTTCACGGGTCAGCCCGCCGTCCATATTGCCTGAGAGCCGCAGTCAGTGTCCGTCCGGCCTGGAGCGCCCAGCTCCTTCCCTGAGCTGGACACGGTGGGAACCTGGGGGCCGGCCCTGTTTCTCTCAGTGGAGACCCCAGCCCGCGGGCCCGCACCCCCATCCGCCGGCCTGTCGCAGCTTCCAGCACCCCTCTTACCATGCTGGCTGTGCACGAGGCTGAGCAGGGCAGCCAGGGCAGCCAGGGCCAGGCAGCCAGGCAGCCGCAGGCCTCGGACGTGCGCCATGGTGTGTCCGCTCCCAGCACTCTGCGGGCTGGTCCTGACCCCTCCGGGTTAATGTTGAACCAACGTGAAGAAATCAGCCGGGAGGCGGAGGTCAGCGGGTCAGGGCCGTGGGGACAAGCAGATGGATAGCCCACCCCCGCCATCCGGGAGGACTGCCGGGTCCCCCAGGAACCGGGGACGGGGGGCCTGGGAGGAAGCCATGGAGCGGAGCCCAGTGTAGCTGCCACGTCCAGCCCCTCGCTCTCTGCGGTCAGTGGGGTCACAGGGCTTTCCCGCAGGCTCCTCCCCATCCTAACGCACGGTGATGGTCGCTTTGACCTCTGTGAGCCTGTCTCCGCCTCTGGGTGGTGGGGAGAGTGTCTTGCTGTGGAGACTGAAGGAGATTCCGAACTTAGAGGGGGAGCTGAGTAGGCAGTGGCTGTGTGCAGCAAAGCCCGCGGGGAGGTCTGTGGAGTCCACCGTGCGTGCGTAAGGAAATGGGGGGCGGGGTGCAGCCAGATGCGAGCCGCCCTGCGACCCCAGGACAGCCCGGGGCAGGGCCGGCCACCCGGCCGCGGACGGAGGGTCCCACGTCCCCTCCCCGCGGCCTGGGAACCAGGGAGGCGTGTTCGTGTGCAGCGGTTGCCGGAAGGAGGAGCCGGGCCCTGGGCCTCCCAGGCCTCCAGTGCGTCTTCGTTCCCAGGTCACCCAGGACCGGTGGCCCGTGGGGCAGCTCAGACCCCCAGGCCCGCCGATCTCCAGGGCAGGGCCCTCGCTCTCCCCCCGCCTGTCTGCCCAGAGTGGCTGCTGCTCCCACATGACCCCTTGCCTGGCCTCCCCCAGTTCCTGATTGCAGTAGAAAGGTAAATATTAGTCCTGGGTCTAATTAGGACAGAGGGCCAAAGAGCAGGAACGCAGGGAGCACAGGTTTTCGCCTCCCCATCCTCCCGGCCTGGCCGTCTGGGGTCTGGACTGGGGTCATGTCCAGTGTGGGAAGATCACACAGAGAGGCCCAGGGCAGAGCAGGGGACGAGGGGTGGCAGGGAGCTAGGGACCAGGGTTCCTAGGAGTCAGCTCAGCTCCTGGGGGGCCCGGTTCCACCACCGTATATATATTTACGTTATATTCATTCCTATTTTTCTGTGTATTTTAAAAACTGAGGTTCAGCTTGTATACAACAATGTTGAAACAACTCACAGTGTTTCACTCAAACTGTTATGTACACACCCATGTAACTCCCACCAGCTCAAGAAGAGGACATTTCCAGCCCCCAACAGACTCCTTCCAGTCCTTCCTGAGATAATCACTACTCTAACCACCATCATTATTACCATAGATCAGTGTTCCTACTTTTGCACTTCGTATAAATGGAAACCACCAGCATATATCTGTTTGTCTGGCTTCTCTGGCTCGGCACGTTTCTGAGGTTCACTCCTGCTGTGTATATCAGCAATCTGCTCCTTTTAAAGCTGTGTAGTATTTCATTGCATGAATATTGTAATTTCATTTATACATTCACCTGTCGGTGGGCTTCTTGGGTGGTGCTAGTGGTAAAGAACCCACCTGACAATGCAGGGCACATAAGAGACATGGGTTCGATCCTTGGGTTGGGAAAATCCACTGGAGAAGGAAATGGCAACCCACTCCAGCATTCTTGCCTGGAGAATCCCAAGGACAGAGGAGCCAGAATTAGGCCTCCACATAGGGCTATAATGAATGGTACTGCTGTGAATATTCGTGGACAGGTCTTCTGGTATAGATAAGCACTGATTTCTGTTGTGTACAGAGGATCCAGGAGTGGGTCCCAAGGCAGGCATTTCTCTTGACTAAGACACTTGGACAAATAGTCATCCCGAGTGGTTGTACTGGTTTACACTCCTACCAGCAATGTTTGAAGACTTTCAGCAGCTCATATCACACCCGCTCATCTATCCACTTACAGTGACCATTCTGAGGGGTGTGTTGGTGTCTCATTGTGGTTTTAATTTGTATTCCCTGTTGACTAATGATGTTGAGCCGACTCCGTTTTTTTTTCTTTTCTTGTAGTGGAATGGTGAAAAGATCTCACCTCATTAACTTCTTTAAAAACTCCATACGAGTAAGGAAGGGGGTAGGGCTGAAGAGGGATGTAGTTTCATCCTTTCCGGATTTTTTTTGAAGGGGGCGGAACTTCCCAGACCAGGGGTGGAACCTGTGGACCCTTCAGTGGAAGCACAGAGTCTTAACCCCTGGACTAAGTCCTCATCCTGCCTGCTCCAAGGCAGGCGCTCTTCCTCCTGCAGAGCAGCAGCCTGGGCCAGTGCTGAGTCATCCTGAGAGGGAGGAGGGGGTGCTGGCCAGGAGAAGGGCACAGCTCATCACAGCGGCCCCCTTCTCTGGAGAGTTCCGGCCGAGCGCCTGCCTTGTTCCCTCACGGTCAGAAACCCCCTTCCAGACAGCCAAGGCCCCCAGCCTGAAGGAGAGTGCTGGCTTGGGAGGCTGGTCCTGGGTCTCACTACCTGTAAAACCAGAACTTTAGCAACACTCACTGCGCAAGGCTGTTGTTGAAAAGCTTAAGGTCACACTGGCTTCTCCACAGGCCCTTCTTCGGACTTGCAGCTTTGCTGAGTCCACGGCACACTCGTGCACAGACTCGGCCGTGCAGGGGCAAGGCTTGGCCATGTCTTCCTCGAGCTGTTTTCAGACGATGTTCCCAAGGAGAAAACATGAGATGTGGATATAAGGATTCCTGCTTTCCCAGGCTTGTTCCTGGATTTATGAATCAGGATGAAGTTACAAGCCATGATAGTACCCACGGCCACATCCATTTAGCGGGGAGAACTTTTCTGATGAGAACTTCATTTTGAACATGTCCAGACATCTGGTCCTTGGCAAATGCTGGACCCAACGCACATGGTTCGGTTGGTTGTTAGCGCAGCTAAGAACAATGAGTTGGATGGCCAGACTGGGTTTTTTGGTCAGGAGAGAGACGGCATGGATGCTGTGGAGGCCGTGAGCACTTGGAGCCAGGGATGGCAAGACCAGCAAGAAGACTCTCGGCCATTCTGGGTTTTTTTTTTTTTTTTTTTGGTAGTATTTTCTTGGCCGTGCCACCCAGCATGTGAGATCTTAGTTCCTCAGCCAGGGATTGAACCGTATCCCTCGCATTGGAAGCATAGAGTCTTAACCACTGAATCACCAGGGAATTCCCATTATGATAAATTTGATTTTGTGTTTTACCTTATCTCCATGGTTCCTCTTGTCCCTGCAGAGACCACCTCCCAGCTCTCAAATCCTGCTATGTTTGTGCTCTCACTGTAATTCTTTGAATTCCAAATACCTCTTGTCTCCTTCCAGGCCTAGTTGGATTCAGTTTACTGGTGTGAAGTCAAAACTAAATTACTCCCCCAAAAGCATATTATACTGTTTGTAAAGTCTCACAAGGCCTGTCACACAGTAAGCACTCAATCAACAGCATGGATTATGGGATATGATGCAACAAGGAATCCACAATGATGCCAATTAAGGGTTCTTCCTAAAAGAGTGAACCTGGACTGGATCAAACCTCTCGATTTAATTACTAGTTTAGAGGAAGGACAGACAACAGAAGAATAAGTAAGACACCAACCATGAGGAAGGAGGGACATTTGACAGGACAAATGACCCTGGTTTCTCTAACAAATCCATGACATGGAAATGAAAGGGGTGGGTGGCAGAGACTGTTCAGAACAGAAACGTAAGACGTAACAACAAATGCAAAAGGGAGCAGAATGACCATGATTGGTTCAGACCTTTGAACACATCAACTGTAAAAAGACTATTTTTGGACAAGTAAAGTTCAAACATAGGTTAGATATGCAATGATATGGAATAACTATTTTTAGTTTGCTAAGTGTTAGCTGACATATGTTTTTTTTTTTTTTCCATTTATTTTTATTAGTTGGAGGCTAATTCCTTTACATCATTGCAGTGGTTTTTGTCATACATTGAAATGAATTAGCCATGGATTTACATGTATTCCCCATCCTGGTCCCCCCTCCCACCTCCCTCTCCACCCGATCCCTCTGGGTCTTCCCAGTGCACCAGGCCCGAGCACTTGTCTCATGCACCCAACCTGGGCTGGTGATCTGTTTCACCCTAGATAATATACATGTTTCGATGCTGTTCTCTTGAAACATCCCACCCTCGCCTTCTCCCAGAGTCCACAAGTCTGTTCTATACATCTGAGTCTCTTTTTCTGTTTTGCATATAGGGTTATCGTTACCATCTTTCTAAATTCCATATATATGTGTTAGTATACTGTTTTATTTTTTAAATCCTTATAAGTTATAGATTATACCTAGGGATTTATAATAAACAGATGAAACAAGCAGGGCAAAATGTTAATGATCATTAAATCTGGGTGGTAGAGGTTGTTACATTGTTCTTTTACCTGTTTTGTGTTTGAAAACTTTCATCATGAAAGTGGGCTTAATTCCCTAAGAAATGGAGGCTGGGGTTATCAAGTGGGTCCTAGATGGACAGCCTCCCTGCTCTCCCGAGTGAACACAAGATGCACTCACTCACTCTTTTGTGGAGAGGACTGGGGGAGAGCGCCCCTCTGGGAATGTGGCTCTGGGGGGATCTGAGAGTTCTATGGGTCAGGGTAGCACCTCCATGGGCGAAGGACCCCAGCAGACTAAGAACAGGCTCAGGCCTCAGGGCCCAACACAAGCCGCCCAGCCTCCAGGGATCTTTTCCCTGGAATTCTCTGGGGCCAGGAGGTACCTATCGTCAAGCCTGTCATTCCTGCTTTCACCACAAACACTTACCTGTACCTTTCAAGTAGGTTGAATTTTTCTCTGAGAACAAGGCCATAATGAGGGGTTGCATGTTGGCATCAAAGAAAATCATGGCTGAAGCTAACATTATGTTGTAAAGTGAAGCTCTATAATCATTGAAATCAGCCAAACTGTGTTCCAGGACAGAATTACAGAATTTTAGAGCCTGAAAGGAGATCAGAACTACTAAATCCAGATATTTTGAAACCTAGGCCTCTGGGCATGGACTACATGATGGCCTATCTTTCTGCATATTTAAAAAAAAAACAACAACTCAAAAAATTCTAAAAGTAATTTTCATAATTTTTTCCCCCAGGAATTCCCTGGCAGTTCAGTGGATAGGACTCATTTTTATTGCCAAGGACCCTGATTCGACCCCTCATTGGGGAACTAAGATTCCATAAGCTACATGGTGTGGCCAAAAAATAAAAAAGGAATTTTCTCCCTTTTGGCTGAAATTATATCTTTTTAGGTGGTTGCCTTGTCTTTTTTTCCTTAAGCTGATCAGCATTTTCTATTTTGATTTAAAAATACATATCAATTTCTCTTAATAAGATTTTTTAAAAAAATATAAGACCCACAGAAGAAATAAAGTGAGCCAAAAAAGGCTTCATGATGAAGCTGAGATTGGGATCCACTGATCTGATCCTCTCCCAGGTCATTGAAGAAAGGGAGCCTGAGAGCTGGGAAGCTAATGGTCAAGGTCTTCAGACAGGTAGTGACCCAGCGAGGACCAGGACCTGCTTCCTGCCTCCTGGGCCTCTGCTTTTCTCATACAACCCCGCCTTGGCATTTGGCAGGGTAGAGCCTAGCTGCGCTACAAACTCATCCGAGGGGGATCCGTTCTGAGACCCTCAGGGGATGCCCGAGACCATGGACAGTACTGAACTCTGTCCATACTGCTTTTCCCTACACTAACGGGAAGGTCGTCTACACTGGATGAAGTGATGATGAACATCCTGGGTGGCAGGGCGAGAGACTTCATTGTGTAACTCAGAGTGAGTTCACAGCTTAAAATTTGCAAATTATTTCCAGAATTTTCCATTTAATGCCTTTGGATGGGAGTTGACTGTAGGTAACTGAAACCACAGAAAGTGAAACCGATGTTGGGGGTGATGTGGGGACTACCATATATCCACAGGACGTGTGCCTGAATATAACAGTACTGAGTGATGCTGACCTACCCAACAAGCACTACCTACAGGCAACATGGACCTCAACCTTGTCCTCGAAGTGAAGGGGACTGGTTCCAAGACTAATTTTTTTTTTTTAATTTGGTTACACCGAGTCTTAGTTGAAGCATGTGAGATCTAGTTCCCTGACTAGGGATGGAATCCAGACCCCTGCATTGGGAGTGCAGAGTCTTCACCACTGGACCACCAGGGAAGTCCCTCTAATACTATTAATAACCAGCTGCAACTTATTAGGTGCTCATCATGTTCCAGATATGTAGTACTGATGAGGCAGGAACTACAGCTATTCCCATTTTATGGATGAGGAAACAGAGGCATGGATAAGTAACTTGCCTGAGTTTATGCAGCTAGCTCAGGGTGGAGCTGTGATCCACACCTGCCCTTCTCTAGTCCACGAATCAAATTTTATTCTATTGTGAAGACTTTTCTCACAGTATTAAAGCTGTGATTTAGGATAAAAGATCCTTTGTCTCCCACCCTTTCTGATGCTTGGCTCAGCAGCTATACATACTGCGTGGTTAGATCTGTAAAAAGGATTCCAGCAACATTTTCATTGCAACTTTGCTCTACAGCAAGCAGCAGCACTCAAATTTGATGCTAAATACACCAAACAGTTCAAAGTGACTTCATTGGTGGATGGAGAAAAGAAGTAGGGAATAAAGGACTTCCAACACTGTAATGAAACAGGAACGATTTTGATATGGGGGAGGGGATATTTTCTCAAACCACATTCCTGTGATCAGTTTTCCCAAGAACTGTCCCTGTATTTTATTTCCATTGGAGAGGAACTAAGGTGGGCTTCAGAAGGCCTGGGCCTCTGTCCTGGTTCTGCTCTTCACTGGTCTTATGCCTCCACGGGGGACTTCTCTCTTGGCCTCTGTTGTCTTATCTGAAACGGGAGGAATTTGGACGATGCTCTTCGATACCCATTCCCAATTGTTAGCACCGAGGACAGGCTCCTAATCCAGGTGCCTCTGCATTTGGTGACATGATCTGACACACCTCTGCATCACCAGGTACAATCTCAGTGCAGAGGAAAGGTCCCCATCTGTTTGAGGATGTACCAAAGGGGGAGATAAACACCCCAGTTTTTGGCCTGAGGATGGATGTGGGCATCGACAGGCTTCCCCAGCAACCCAAAGTACCCCCGTTTCCCTGCACAGCTCAATCTCAAGTTATAGTCACACCCCAGGTTACCTAACACTGGTTAGACACAGCTGAGTGGTCACTTGAGTTGGAATGACCTGCCCTAAACTGGAGACGGAAAAGAATAAGACCTACCAGGCTGAGTCAGGCAGTTGGCTGACTCAAAACTATTATTAGAAGCTGTTTTTCAGGTTTTGGATGGTGAGGGCTTTCTTTCCACAGATCGTCACCGTCTCTCGCTGTCTTCCCTCTCCTTTGGACAATCTCAGAATGACACTCTGCCAAGAAGTTATTCAGGCTGGGTGGGTGGATAAATTAGTCAGTGGCCAAGCAGGAGACACAAGGCTGCTTGTGGCGCCGTGATCGAGTGATGGGGAGCCAGAAGACATGCCACGTTGCAATCCTGGCTCTGACTGTGTGGTCTTGGCTGGTGCTACCCTGCTCTGAATCAGCTTCTCTGTGAAATGGGGGCACGACACCCAATTCGCAGGACAGGAGAAGGGAACAAGAATGTGAGCTCCCCTGTCTCCCTTGCCTCCCCCTTCTCAGAGCAATCTCCAGTCTGGCTTCCAGCTGCCCTCAGCTCACTGGCAGCTTCTGCAAATTTCCACCTTCTCAACAAGCATTGGTGCTCTCCTCTCCTTCCTCTGCCGAGATGCTCTTCCATCAGTTTCCATGACTCACACGTGGCAGGTTTTCCTGTTTCATCAGAGGCTACCTTAGTCCCTCCTGCAGGGCTTCCCCTCTCCCGGCAGGCGGTGCCAGTCCTACCAACTGGCAATCTCTCCGTCCTCAACTCAGCCCAAGCCAGATCACAGCTGCCCTGCTCCCACCCCACGCCCACCTAACTTGCTAAGTCAGAAAGTTGGACCCAGAGCTTTCTCCCCCTCTCTGAATTCGGTCGCTTCCACCTTCCAGGGAACATGTCACCCAAGCCGTCGCCACCACGTAGTCGCTGCCCAGCCCTCGCTCCTTCCCCACCCCACCGTGGCCACACTGGCTCTTGCTCTTGCTCGAGCTTGCTGGGCCCTGGCGGCCCTGCTCCCTCTGCCTGGAGCCCGGCTGTCTGCAGACACTGACCTGGCTCCCGCCTCTCCATGGTGCGGGGTCACCTTACTGGAGGCCTTCCCTGACCACCCTCTGTGGAGCCTTACTCCCCGTTCCAGCCCCTTCTTGCATTACTCTTCTTCGCTGCAAGGACCATGATCTGATGGGTTTGTTCCCTGGCTCTTTACACAGATCTCGACTGCCACCTCTGACGCCCAGCCCACAGGAAGCGCTGTTTGCTGCGTGACTGCACTCCCACTGCTACCAATTTTCCCCGCCACTGGATTCCCACACCTGCACCTCTCCAGGGGTGTCTTCAAATACCAATCTCACCATCCCCCTGCTCACCACCCTTCAAAGGGCCCCTCAACAAGTTTATTTGAGAATAAACCCCAAACTCCTGAAGCAAGGCCTGTGTGACCGGGCCCTGCCTTCTTGCCCCTCGTTCCGTTCCAGCCACGCTGATCTCAGGGGCTCAGGCCCCAGACCCTCGCCCAGGGCATTTTCACACGCAGCTCCCCACACCCCACCTTCCCCCGCACCGACCCATCCAGCACGTGGCAGCTGAAACCCAGGGCAGTAGAGCGAGGCGGGCAAGAGCCTGACTCCAGCGCCAGGCTCCGTGGGCCTGAACCTCAGCTGTGACCCTGGACAGGACGCTGAAAGGTCTTTATTCCTCAGTTTCGTCTTAGCTGCCTCACCGGACTGCCATGAGGATTACATGAGTCAACTCGCAGAACGGACTGGCCCACAAAAAGGATGTTTATTACCATTTCCTGTGGGCACCTTCTCTGACGCCAAGCTGACCCACCCCATTAAACACGCTCCCAGCATTGGGAAGCACTCCTCTCTGAACTCATCCAGCACTCTTTGCCCCTGCAGACCCGAGCTCTGCCTCGGTCACAGCTGTGTCCCCAGCAACTCAGGCAGGCCGGGCCCACCGTTGGTTCAAAACACATTTGTCCTTCGTTCCTTCCCCTCACAGGGTTGCCTTTGGCCAGACGCACAGACGGTGCAGGCCTGGCCCCAGGCACCTCCAATGAGTCTGGTGAGCTCAGCACAGAACAGAAGTCACCCTCACAGCCCTTAGGGGTGAGAAAAGCTGCCAAAATAACCTTCAGTCTGACTCAGACTTGTGAGCTGAGTCTCTCTGGCCTTTTAACCCTCAGAGTCATTCTGTTTAGGACCACAGAGAAGTACATGTCCCTCAGGGAGCTGGACGGGAGAGACAGAAGCCGGCGCTGAGAGCCTGGGCAGGGTCACCTCTGCGGTGATCAGACAGGCACCCCGAGGAGCCCCCAGGGACGAGGCAAGACAAGCCCCCCTGTAGGCTGACAGGAAAAGTTCATAGAAGATCCATAAGTGGTTTACCTTATTAAAGGTCTTGGGGAACAATGTGGTTGTCTGCAAACGGGAAGGGAAGTCCCTGACCTGCTTCTCACAGACCGGCCTCTATTGGGAACCCGGAGAGGAAGTTCACCCAAGCTCAGACCGCGGAGCCTCCCTACCGAGCTCTGTGGGGTGAGGCGAGACTGTCAGGTCCCTGTCTCCACCTCCACCACCTCCGCCCAGGTGCTGAAGCCCAGGTCCTTGTGGATGAGCACCAGGCCGGGGGCAGGGCCCGGCTCCTCAGGCGCCACAAAGCGCTTCTCCTGGCTCTCAGAAATGGTGACCTGGAAGATGTCCTGGGCCGGGGCGCCGTCCCCTTCACTGCCTGCATCCAGCAGCTCTGGCTCGGCCTGCAGGAGCACCACGGTGGGCTCGGCAGTGGCAGGCGGCACACAGGGCGGGCTGGCGGGGGCGCCAGGCTGGTGACTGAGCTGGTGCCGCCTGAGGCTCTGCAGGAGCGTGTAGCCCATGCCGCAGGTGGGGCAGCGGTGGGGCTTGTCGGCCAGGTGGGATTTCAGGTGGCGCCGCAGCTTGGTGGCCAGCGTGTAAGCCCGGCCGCACTGCGGGCAGGGGAAGGGCCTCTCGCCCGAGTGCAGGCGCTCGTGGGCGCGCAGCGTGTGTGGGTCCCGCAGCGCCTTCCCGCACACGGGGCACAGGTGGACCTCGCCCGTGTGGGAGATGAGGTGGCGCCGCAGCTCGGGCCGCTGCGGGAAGGCGGCGGCGCAGTGCGGGCAGCGGTGCGGGCGCTCGCCCGTGTGCAGCCGCAGGTGCCCGCGCAGGCTGCCCCGCTGGCGGAAGGCGCGGCCGCAGTGTGGGCACAGGAAGGGCTTCTCCCCCGTGTGCAGCCGCATGTGGTTCCGCAGGGAGCCCTGGCTGGCCAGGGGCCGCCCGCACACGGGGCAGGGGCACGGGGCGGGGGCCGCCACCGCCTGGTGTGTCTTGCGGTGCAGCCGCAGGGAGGGCCGGCGGGCAAAGGCCTTGCCGCACTGCTCGCAGCGGAAGGGCCGGGCGCCGGAGTGGACCACCTGGTGCTCCCGGAGGTCCCGCCGGGTGCCGTAGGCCTTGTCGCACTGCGGGCAGGGGAAGGGCCGCAGCCCGCGGTGGCCCAGCGTGTGGGCCTTGAAGCTCTCCTCCGAGCTGTAGCTCTTGCCGCACTCCGTGCAGAGGAAGGGCTTGTGGCCCGTGTGCACGAACGCGTGCTTCCTCAGGTGGCAGAGCTGCAGGAAGGCCTTGCCACACTCCCCGCAGCGGTGCCGCCGGCCCTGCTTCGGGGGGCCTCCCGTCGGGCCAGGGGGGCTCTGCAGGCGGGCGGGGAAGCCAGCGTGCTGCTGCTCTGCAGTCGCCTGGGCCCCAGGCTCTGAGGTCTTCCCCCTGGGTGGGCGAGGACCACTGGGGCTCCGCAGCTTCTTGACCAGGGGAGCACACAGCTGGGGGGCCCTGTCAGAAGAGGCGGAACCGGCCTCACCCTGTGCAGGGCCCTGCTGGGGAGCAGAGCTGCTCTGAGGTCCAGGTGGGGGCTGGGGCGGGCCCTCCTCACCCATGTGGCCATCTTCAGGCAGCGGGCTGAGTGGCTGGCGCTCCTTGGAAACTGGGGCCTGGGTCTGGGGTGAAGGTCCAGGGCTCACCACACTCTCTGCCTGGATGCTGGGGGGTGACCGGTGACCAGGATCTGCAAGGCAAGAGTAGGGCACTGGGCTGAGTAGAGTCTGTAGCAGGTGGTCATGGCGGTCTCACCAGGAAGTTATAAGAATACGTCTTCTCTTCAGTCCCTGAACTGCGGAGGGAGCCATGACACCAATCTCTTCCCTGGAGCATGAGCCACATTCTCTGTTTATCCTTCTGGCCAGACTCAGGGGCCTTCTGGGGCGGCTCTCCTGAGAACTGCGGTGTTCTAGACATCTGAGTGATCCCTAGAGGAAGGCCATCCAAGCGCCCTTGTGCTCCCTCTGGGTACAGGCAGGCATTTCTGATGAGCTGAGACCACCACCTCCTCACTTTAGCTCATCTGAAAATAAAGGAACCCACATCCCCAGCCCAGACAGGAAAAAAAAATGTACGAAAATTGGAAACTTTACACACAGCTTGCTGTCTTCATCCAGGTGACCTTACTATTGCGGGAAACTTAACTCAGGAAGATAAAACATGCAAATATCTATACAGTTGACCCTTGAACAACACAGCTCTGAACTGCACAGTCCATTTATACGTGGATTTGTTTCAACAGAAATTTCAACCACAGCACTACACCATCATAGGTGGTTGAATCTGTAGATGCAGAATCACAGATATGGAAGCTTGGATATGGAGAGCTAACTATAACTCCTGTGCTGTTCAAGAGTCAACTATAATGTTCATTCCATGGAAAAGACTCATTACTCATCAAAAAAAGCATCCAGTGACAGTTTACATCCCCAAACTCTTCAAACCTCTCACCTGAAAATTCTAGTCTTGCTGCGTCCATGATCCTAAGCCACTGCCAATATGTCATGATCCTTACCCCAAGCCTGATCACGCCCCACCCCGATCCCACACTGAAAAACCCACCTTATACCAGACTTTAAAATCTCAATAAACACAGGCTTTGCCCTTTCCCCTCAGAAAAACTACTGTTCTCCCCTGCCATCTTACACCATGAGCTCTTTTTCTTACCAACACAGGTTATTCAGGTGATAATGTGGGAAACCAGCGTTTGGGCACATACCTGGGCAAGCTTCCGCTGCTTCCTCCCTGGGGGAGGCCACTTCCGGTCGCACAACAGACTCCACTTCTGTCACTGCCGCTGAGGATGCCGCTTCCTCTAGCCTGGGCTGGGTGGGGCTCAGGCCCTCAGAGGGACGCTGGGGCCACAGCCGCAGCTCAAAGCCCGGCAGCACGAGCCGGGACACCTGCAGGTGGAGCCTCTCGCTGATCCACACTGGGGCCACGTTCCCCTCGCCCTCCAGCCTGCCCCGCTGCACCAAACTGCAAAGCAGAGCACGGGCTTGCCCAGGAGCTCCCTTTCCAGCGGCCCTCCCGGGAAGCCCCGGCTCCTCAGCAGTCTGAGTCCTACAGGACCCCGTGCCTTTGGGAACACTCACTGCAAAAGATCCCTGGGTGGGAGTTACAGACCACTTCCAGTTCCACCCCATGCCACTACAACAGGCCTCAGAGGAGCATCTCCACTACACACTCTCCTGTAACTTACCTAGTCCAGCCTGCACTCTGCTCACAAGCACACACGTCTCCCCATGAGCCTAGGGACACGGCCTGAAATAAACCAATAAAAGTCCTTCTCCTATGTGTTGGAGGGGGCCAGGGTGAAACAAACAACAACAACAACAAAAAACCCTGATGAAAGCTTTCCTGAGACAGATCTAAGATGAAGTCCCTGGAAGGTTAATGGTCGCTGGTCTGCCTCTCCAGGACTACACTGTTTGAGTTTTCATTCAATAAAGGCCAAAAAAAAATTACCCCTCACCTCCTCCCAAGGTGTGGAGGATTACTAAACTGAACAGCACAAGCAGTGAGACTTACATGTGAGTTCAATGAGGCATGGCATCGAACTAGTTATGTGACAAAGCTGGGTTTTAACTCCATGGCTTTGTAATTCCAAAAACATTTGCTCTTAACTTTTGGGACTCCTGACACTCCACTAATCCACCTTTTCTTTTCTTTTTTACATTTTGGCCGTGCTACAGTGGCATGTGGGGCCTTGGTTCCCAGAGGATAAGGGATGAAACCCCTCCCCTCTGCGGTGGAAACCGAGAGTCTTAACCTCTGGATCGTCAGTCCCCTCTACTAACCTACCTTTTAACAACTTTTTTGCACCTCCTTGGTTACCGCAAGAGAGGGGAAGCAATAATCCCTGAGAGAGGGGCACAAACCACCTCCTATCTCTTGAAATACCCTGCACCTTCTAACAAACTGGAACGTTATCTGGAAACATTTGATTTTCAACCACGATGCTGCTGCTGCTGCTAAGTTGCCTCAGTCGTGTCCGACTCTGTGCGACCCCACAGATGGCAGCCCACCAGGCTCCACCGTCCCTGGGATTCTCCAGGCAAGAACACTGGAGTGGGTTGCCATTTCCTTCTCCAATGCATGAAAGTGAAAAGTGAAAGTGAAGTAGCTCAGTCGTGTCCAACTCTTCGCGACCCCATGGACTGCAGCCTACCAGGCTCCTCCGTCCATGGGATTTTCCAGGCAACCACGATGAGGAGATGCCTATCCTTCAATACCTCCTTCTGCTTTGGTTCCACTCCATTCCTCTTCTGCTTGGAGACAGACTCCTCTTCCAGCGGTCCCCAGAGCAGTCCCGGCTGCAAGGGCTCCCCGACACACCAGACCCCCAAGCGCTGTTCCGCGGTGAGTGAGGGGCCAAGGGCCAAGCCCCGAGGGAGGTTCTTCAGAGCGAGGATGGCTCGGGTCTCTCCGGGCGGAACATCTTTGAGTCCTGGTGCACACTCTTTTCTGGGAGGGCTCCATCCCGACTCCGGGCCCAGGCGTGGATCGGGGGCTGCGGGAAGAGAGGAAGCGGCCCAAGAGGTGGTACGGGTGCCGAAAGGTGGGGTGAGGAAGGAAACCCGAGGTCCAGGTAGGCCTTAGGCGTCTGAGGAATCTCTAAGGGTTCTAAGATGGGCCTGCGGTTCGCTCTTAAGAAGGCCCCAGCGATTCGAAGAGCACCGGAGGGGGATGCCAGCCTCGGGAGAAAACGGGTCAGGGAAGAAAGAGTTGATCAGAGAACGTTCAGTGTTGCCAGACCAGGGCGGAGGGTCGGAGAGACCCGCAGGTCACTCACCTAATTGCAGTCTCCCCCTCCCCAAGAGCAGATCCTCGGTCGCCTCCATCCCGGGTCAGAAAGCCTCCTTCCGCCGGAAGTGAGCTTCACCTTCTCAGCTCCCCCCCCGAAACAGTCACGGACATCCAAATTTCCTCTCGGGAAATCCAAAGAGTCAGACCTCATGGGTACACAGGACCGGGGGTTTGGGAGTACTTTGTGAGGCCAATCTCTTTCCGGAACAATACGAGCTTAGAATTCCGGAGGTCCTCCCGGGGATCTGAGTATCCGGTGAAGAGGAACTAATTGTTCTAGACGCTACCCCCGGGAGGGACCAGTCGGACAGTAACACCGTTCCTCCTCCGGGCGGGCACGTACGCAGGCACGTACGGAAGGGGCGGAGCTCCCGGGCAGGCCTCTTTGGGACCGGGTGGCAGGTCGGAAGTGGGTTGGAGGTGTGGCGGAAGTGGCTGGGGAGTGAAGGGACGGGGAGGGGGCGGTTCCCCGTGAGACAGAGGAGCCGGATGTTTGCCGATCTTTGACAGGCGTGGCAGGGAGAGTGGTGCCCCTCCACGGTGAGCTGCGGGGCGCGGGGTCTCCCTGGGGGGTGACGGGGGCAGGAAAGGGACCGTCAGATCTTCTGAAGGAAGGGGGTTCGGATGGGGAGGATCGGAGCAGAACCGCGGACGGGAGCGAGGGTGGAGTGGGGCCTGGGAACCTGGCCTTCCCGCTGCGCGGGTTCTGCTCCGCTCGCGTCTGAAGTGAGAGGACTTTACTTCCTCGTTCCTGGCTTCCTCGCTGACTGTCATCGAGCAAGCTCGTGGGAGGGGAAATCTCCCTGGTCTCATCTGGGCAAGCAGTAAGACCAAGAGGTTTGGGGGAAGAAGTATTCCACCTTTGCCACTTCTCGGGTCCCATTTTCGTATTCGTGATATGGGATGATGACACCCAAGCCGGGTTTGGTAAACCATGAGTTTCTGTGCAGATGTCATTGTAGTTGGAAGTTTTGCCGCTGTATTGTGGGTTTTGCGTTTTCACAATTCTGGAGTCCTACCGAAGAGGGCGATCCCAACGCCAGAGAATACGATTTCGTGTTGTTTATTCAAGTTGTCCACCTAGGAGATTAGGGAAGAAGCTTTACTTTGCCCTTTTTGTAGAACTTTGAGAATCGCATGAATAGCAGCCCCTTAAAGAAGTATTGAAGGAATTGACCTGCACAAAGGGACCACGTTAAGGTAGACATGGATTACATGGATTAGAATCTGGACTTTGCTGTATGACCCTAAGCAATGGCCTTTTTTTTTTTTCCTAGTGCTAGGTTTCTCAAACTGTCATGGGTTTTACATACCTCTGGTGTTTTACATACCTCACTGGTGCTGTTGTGAAAAGATAAATTGTATCCAGCTCATGGGTGGTTGGTTCCCTCTTCCTCTGAGGATACAAATTGACTTGTTATGTTACTCAAAAAATAACTGAGCATCTACTCTGTGCCAAATGTAATTTTGAGTAGGTCAGGCAGGATGTCTTAAACAGGAATTCCCAGAGGGCCTGTGAATCCCTTAAATTTCATGCAAGATTTCACACACGTGCTGATTTTGCTGAGGGAAAAAGCCACTAATTTATCCAGAATTTCAGAGAGCTCCAGGTCTTCCCAAAGGTTAATACTTCTGCCTAAAGTGATTCTTGAAGATTTTTGTAAAGGTCGACATTTTACCAACTGAGAAGGGAAAATTTACTCTGAGAGTAAAGGCTTCCCAGCTTGCTCAGTGGTAAAGAATCCACCTGCAATGCAGGAGATATGGGTTCCATCTCTGGGTTGGGAAGATCCCCGAGAGAAGGAAATGGCAAGCCATTCCAGTATTCTTGCCTGGAGAATCCCCATGGACAGAGGAGCCTGGTGGGCTGCAGTCCATGGGGTCACAAAAGAGTGACTGAATAACAACAAAAGGAGTATTTTGCAGAGTGGTGCAGGACTTGTAAGCGACAGGAACCTTGGGCAGCCAGGATACTTCTTTTCCACTATTTTATGTTCCAATTTTCCTGTACTAGCTTCCCTTCCCCTCACACTGAATGGGAGCTGAGCTTCTGGGCTGACTTGGGCAAGAGCTATTGGTTGGAAAGTGATGAGAGAGGCCAGACTGGCTGGGAGGTGGAAACAAGAATGATTAGTTGTGCTGGAAAAAGAGGTTATGGGGCAGGGGAGAGGTCAGTTTGGAAGAACGGACAAAACAGAAGTTACTGGAAGAGGTGAGGTTAAGCTCATCTCCCTTTCAGAAAGTGTCCCTCTCCCTCCCTCACACATACTTCAACTCCCAGCTGTTTCTTCTAATCCCGGCGTCCACTTTAGCATAAGTACTTTAGAATGCTGGACAATTACATTTCAGGGAGGAACCTTCACTTCTGTAGATGAGGAAATTAGGCCTAGATAGGAAGAGGACTTGCTCAGCATTTTGCGACCCAGTCAGCTCTATGGCCCAGGTCTCAGTGTATCTCATCCTAGGCCTTTTACACAGCATCAAATACCCACCGTGAGCAGGAAGACTTCTCTGGAACAGCTGGAGGCAAGGCTGAAGGAACTCTTGGTGTCTGGGCAATAACTCGGCAGAAGGGATGGAGAGAAGGCTTGGGCCTGGAGAGGGTTTCTGTGGGCTGCATTCTGCCCCCGATACCTGGCCAGAGGGGCCCCCGCTGGGGGAGCCTTCACAGCCTCCTGGCTGAATGTCAGGGCGATGCTTATTCCTGAATTAGGTGTTGGAGGGTCGAAACGGAATGGGGAGCTGGGGTGAGGGTCCAGCAGCACTCAGTGGGGGAAATGCGTTCCCAAACAAGAAAGGACACCTTTCTTGTGTTTGTGGGAAGGGACTTGTGCTCTGGTGATGAGCAGTGAATAAGGGTAGCAGGTAAGGCCAGAGAACAGGAAGAGGAAGAAAAAGAAGTTGTGGTGTGTACTTTTTGGGTGGGGCAGGAGAGTTGTTTGGTGGCTCAGTTTTGGCTCCAGACCTTCAAAGAGCTTATACCACTGAAGCAGTGTGGTTGCTCTGGTAACAGGGTAGTTGTTGCTAGGTTGTTGCTACGTAAGGAAGTAGGGAGCCGCCAGTTTGCCATCCAGGATCTTTGCCGAGACATGCACAGGAGGTTGTCACGTCGTTCACAGGTGTCCAGGATCTGGATCTGGGCTCACAGTTCTCTTCTCTTCTCTGCTACCCGTGTCTGGGTCTTGTCTGCACTCCTTATCTGCCCCGCTGAGTCTCTGACCATATATGTCATTTTTCGGGGCTCCAGGAATGCAGTGGACTTAGAGCAGCCTCTCCTGCGGGGTTGGCTGAATGGACTGAATTAATCAACTCCCCTCCCTCACACATCTAGTGAGCTGGTGAAGGGAGAAGCGGTGGCTTCTCTTTAGGGCCAGGGGCAGAAGGTGCCGCCTCTAGGCTGCAGGCAGCCGTGTCCCTACAGCCAGACCCCAGACCCGAGCAGACCCAGCGTCCTGGCTCTTCTCCCTGCCCGCCTCTGGCCGCTGCTGTGCTGGTTTCCGCCTCCCGGACCTCTGCACTCTGGGTATTGTGGGCCTCCTCCTTCCCTACCTGTACCCTCCGAGCCTGACGGTGGTCTGAAACCGCATCAGGAACTCCCCGCAGAGCAGAGTGGGCTTAGGAGCCTCCAGGAGCCTGCAGACTGTCCGCGGTGACTGGCAGGCAGATTGCATTTCCTGTTCCTCGATCCTGTTCTGGGGCAAAGCCAGCTGGGCCCCCTGGCTGTGGCCTTTTTCCTTCAGCCTTATTGCCTCTGGTCACCTCCTGCTCCCGGGACCACAGCTGACCTGTTTCAGGCAGGGGTGTGGAGCAACCCTGTGCTCCTTAGATTCTTGTGCTTTCTCTTCCCAGTAACTGCTGGGGTCTGGGAGGCTTCCATGCTCTGTGACGCTGGAGGAGAGGGGCATGGGCCCCAACCCTCCGCAGCTGGGAGGGCACAGCTGGCCCGGCGGGGTGATGGGCCGTGCAGGGTGTGGTGCAGCCCTCCCACATCCAGCTGGAGGGCCCTGAAGGCGGGCACTGAGCCGTGCCTCTTCTGCCCCAGCTGCCTTTCCTGACAACGTGCCAGAAAACCGTGGAGCCAGGAAAGCCAGGCGCTCCATGGCGCTCTTGGCACGGGTGAGAGGTGTTGAGGAACAGGGACAGAACAGGGGAGCAAAGAGTGGGGGCCGGAGGGCTTGCTGTAGAAGTTATGGGTGAAGAGAGTGTCTCGCTGACCAGCCAACTACCTTCTGCCTCTCAGGGTTCTCTGTGGGTTCTGCCGTGTGGAGCTGTGGGGTGCAGGCTTGGCCATGGACCCGCTGTCAGAGCTGCAGGATGACCTGACCTTGGATGACCCCAGCCAGGCTTTGAACCAGCTGAAGCTAGCTTCCATCGATGAGAAGAACTGGCCCTCAGACGAAATGCCTGACTTTCCCAAGTCAGGTGGGCACGGCTGGATGGCAGCTGCCTTGGGAGCCTTAGAAGGGGAGGGCCCCCCTGCACTTTCTATGGAAGGAAGACCCTGGGAGGATGGGGTGGGGGCAAACAGATCAGCCCCCTTCTCAGAGCTGATCAGATCAGATGAGGGTGGGGCTGGAGCATAGGCCTTACCTGGGGAAGGGCCAGAGAGCACGAATCTTGCGGGGGGGAATGTTGTCCCAGCCCCCAGATCATCCCCTGACGTTGTTGTGTTCCTCAGATGACTCCAAGAGCAGCTCCCCAGAGCCTGTCACACACCTGAAGTGGGATGACCCTTACTACGACATCGCCCGGCACCAGATTGTGGAGGTGGCAGGTGAGCGCCCCCCGCCCCCCAGCCTTGCACCTTGTCCCCCACAGTCCGCACTCCTGGCTTAAGGAAGCCAGCCCCTCCTGCCTGAGGGCAAGGGGCTGCAGGGGAGGGGCAGGCTTCACCCCTGACCTGGGAGCTCTTCTGGCTCCATGTACCATTTTTTTTTCTTTTCGAGTTCACTTTATTTTTGTTTTTTGTTTTTTAATTGGAGGATGATTGCTTTACAATGTTGCGCTGGTTTCTGCCATAAAGCAATGGAAATCTGCCAGGAGTATATGTGTATACACACACCCCCTCCCTCTCAGAGCTCCCTTCACCCCCCGCCCCCACCTTGCCCCTCTCGGCAGTTTCAGACTCACTTGTGATGGCCGCTGGATCTGGTCACCCACAGCCACCTCCTGACCTGTGACCTGGTCTCTGTTGGTGGATGGCGTGTGGGAAGCATGCGAAAGCCTTGGGTGTGATTCCCAGGTCTGCTCGCTTAGCGCCTTTCCTCCTCCCAGGGTTGCTGAGAGGATGACGGCGGTGAACATATGTCAGGGCCTGGCCCACAGCCAGAACGTAGTTAGCCCTGAACACGTGTTCATTTGCTTCCCTTCCCTGTGCCCTCAGGTCAACTTTTCTACCCAGGAGTTACTAGGAATCCCAGGGAGGTGCCAATCCCTCTGGGGAAACCCCAACTCTAAGGAAGTCTGGAATGGCAGAGCCTCCTTGTGGGAGTTAGGAGCCATGTGACTCCTGGGGCCTCGGGTTGCCCACACATGTGCTACGTGTGAAGAACGGGTGTAGTGGCTCCCTCGAGTCTTGGCCTCAGTGAGCTCCCGCCCTGCTGTTCATAACACAGGGCCCAGAAGACCCCTGCAGCAGGGAGGAAGCAGAGACGTGGATGACCTGGTTTCTGCCCTTAGTCCTCCTGCTGAAAGAGGAAATTGAAACTGTGGGATCCTTTGTCTTTGCTTCAGCTGTAAGCAGGGTGACAGCGTGGCCCTGTTCTGAGGTCTTGGGGTGGACTAGGGGAGCCAGATGGCTTCTGGCCCCTGGAGCCCTGCGCTGTGCTGGCCAAGGGGTACCTGGAGGCATCCGGCCACAGGGAAGGTGCAGGGAGCCCTGTCTCTCCTGAATGCTGGGCTCAGGGAGGGGTGGGGAAGTTAAGAGGGTTGTCCCTAACATTTCAAGGTGTTTCCTTGGCTTGGATGTCCCTGACGCCTTTCCTGGTCCGGGTTGGAGAACTTGGCGGTGGCCTCTCTCAGCCCTACTTAAAGCAAGGCCGAGAGTTCTTTAGTGATCTGGTCCTGCCCTGAGCACAGGCAGTTTCCCTTGAAGGTTTATAACATTCTGTCCCTGCTACCAGAGATGGACCTGGTTGGAAGTGTCTGATGTGAAGGAGTCTGTCTCCTGACCTCCTCCGGGCGCGCATGCCTGAGTCACAGGCAGAGCAGGGTAGGCTGCCCCCAGCCCCCCGCAGGTGTGACCCCCGCAAGCCGAGCGGCAACTTGTTTCTGTCTCTCCAGGGTGTGGTGAGCCTGAGGGGGCCCAGCCAGGTAGGTGTGATGCTGGCTGTCCGTGCTTGGCCTTCTCTGGGCTGTGGATCAAGAAGGGCTCTTGGTGGAAGCCAGGTGGGGCTAGCTTAATTGCAGCCCCACTCCCGAGAGCTGGGAGCTGGTGGCGCCGGGGGGTGGTGGAGATCGCAGAGGATTATAGGAGGTTTGACAGCGTGGGGGCTGTGCGGGGAGATACATGCAGAGCCCTAAGGAACGGCGCCCCAGAGGACGGAGGGGGCCTTGTCCATGGGGGGTCATGGGGCTGGCTGTGAGCCATGGCCTGGCCTGAGTGCTGGCTCAGGGCCCCTCTTGGGGGGCATCCTCCATGTGTGTGCTTGATTGCCAAGAGGTGTTCGGATTGGCACTGCCCAAGCAAGAGTTGTTTGATGAAGTCTGTGGCAATGTCCGGGGAGTCCAGTTTCCTGGCCTTGGAGCCCCTCCTGCAAAAGGGAAAGTGAGTTGTGTCTCCAACTCCTCTGCAGTCCTCTGTTGTCCTTGCTGGCATGGCTGGCATGCTCCATGGTCAAATGTGACTGGTCCACATGGGTTCTTTTCAGTGGCATGCTGGTAAATGTTTAATAGTTGGCCCTCCAGAAAGGAAAAAAACAAAAACTGTTATTGTAATATTTGTAGCAGTTTCAAATTTTACCTGTCAGTAGATTTCAAGCCACCAACAGTGATGTCACTGGCTTGCAGTATCGCCGAGAGTTTAACCTTTGCACGAATGTGCCCCAGCTCCCACCTCCCATCTCCTTGGCGGCCTGCTCTCAGGTTGTGGGAAGGTGCTGGTCTGGCCCGTCCAGAATGCCTGCTGGAGGAGGCGCGCTGTGGCTGACTAACCCCCGGGTTCCCCTGGGAAGTTCCTGATCGGTGTTGGGGGAAGGCAGAGGTTTCATTCTCAGGCGGCTGGTCTTTTCCTGGTGCTTTTCCAAAGCGCCGGGCCTGCCCTCTGAGCCCTGTCCCTCAGTGCTCTGGGGACAGAGCTCCTTCTTTCCCTCCAGCCTCCAGCGTGGAAATCTGTTCTCTTCTGAGATCAGGGGGGCACTCCCAGGCCTTTTTTATGCATGCGTCTTGGAGGAGCAGTTACCATGCCTACTGGCAGAGGCCCAAGCCACGCAGGACATGGGCAGTTGGGGCTCCACTCCAAGGATGAGAGGGCAGGGGCCGGGCCCTGGGCTTACCCATGTATCGTTCCTTACTGGTCTGAGATTCCTGCCATCCAGTGTCTCCCTGATCGCACCCTCCCCCCGACTTTGTCCCTCATCCCCATCCTGATTTCACTTGCATTTGTAAAACATTTACTCTGGAACAAGCCCAGTAGTCAGCACTGAGGATTCATTAAGGAAAAATGCACACTCCTTCTTTCACGGAGTGTACAGTCCAGTGAAGTGGTTCTTGAAGTGGTCAGGAGGCCTCCTTGGGGATATGAAAGGTCTGGCCCTCTTTTGCAGAAAACACACGCACGGGCTGGTAATATCTTTTCTCTAAGATCATGGTGTTGGTGGGTGCCCATTGGTGGAACCCCGGTTGAGGATCCAGTGTCCCATTTACAAGGTGCTGGGGCAGCTGAGTGGTGGAACCACGGGCCTCTGGCCTCTCACCTCGGCCGCTCGCTAAATCAGTTACCAGCTCTTTAAATCCCAGAGCCCTGTGAGCTCAGCCCTCCTGCCCTGCCGAAGTCCTCAAGTCTGCCAGTGTGTGTGTGTTGGTCACTTAGTTGTGTCCAACTCTTTGCAATCCCATGGACTGTCGCCCACCAGGCTCCACTGTCCATGGAATTCACCAGGCAAGCGTACTGCAGTGGGTAGCCGTTCCCTTCTCCAGGGGATCTTCCTGGTCCAGGGATCGAACCTGGGTCTCCTGCACTGCAGGCAGATTCTTTACCATCTGAGCCACCAGCCAACGAGGGTCACCTTACTGTTGGAAGGCAGCGATGACAACCTTTCAGAGTCCTCGATGCTCCTCCCAGCATTCCCCTGCACCCTGGGTGTCTCCTCCATTCAGAGAAGAGTAGAGAGATGATGCGTTCCCCTTCCCCCCAAACCCTTCTTCCCCCTCCCCCGCCCCCCAGCCACAGGCTCATAGTAGGAGGCCGAGGGCTTTATTCAGCTCCAGACTGTACACGCGGCTCAGCTGGCCAGTCTCACCTTCGTCCTTGCCCCCTGCCAGCCTGCTCTTCCTTCTGTCGGAGTCAGTGGGAAGTGAATCAGAGCAGGCAGCAGGGCCACCCCCCGCTGGCCGCTAAGGAACCAGTGCCTCAGGATCTGGGCCAGGCTGTGAAGAACAGGTGACACCTGCTCCTTCAAAATAGACCTGCTGCTGGACGGAGCTGCACCGTGTCCATCTCAGGAACGCCTGCAGACGGAGCTCGGCTTGTGAAGTCTGGAGAAAGTCTGCCCCATGCTTTGGGAGACTGCCTAGAGCAGGCTCATAACCCAGATAGCACTGCGAGCAAACTCGGAAATAGAACCGCGCCGGGCTGACCTGGGCCAGGCTACTGGTGCTCAATGAACACCTGTCACGCTTCTGGGCTCTGGACCAGCACTGGACATTCAAAGACGGACAAGGCAGCACCTGTCTTTGAGCTGCTCATCGCCTCCAGAAGAGAGAGACACGAAGACAGTTATACAGGAGAGTCAAATCGTCATGACAGCTCACACGGTGACCCCTTGCCTGCCCCAGGGAAGGAGGAGACACACAGGCTTCTGCTTGGGACGAGTCTTAAGGGTTCAGAGGAGATAGCCTAGAGGAGAGGAGCAGAATTGCCTGGAGGAAGTCCTGTCTGTCTGGCATGAGAGGCAGACGCTAAAGCCGCCTGTTGTGCCTTGGCCTGAATGTGTGGAGTGTGAGCCTGCCGTGGGGGGAGATGGGGCCAAGCCTGGAGAGCCCTGTGAGCGCTCTGAGGGGCTTTTACACAGCTCAGCATGGGGTTCAGGAGGAAAGGGGCGTCACGGCAGGAGGGACAGGCACAGGGAGATGTTTCTTTTCTCCACGGCTGGAAGGTAGGGCCGTTTCAAAAGGAGAACGGAGCCTGTCTCTGGGCTGGATGGGAAACCTGACCCAGGACATTCTGGGAGGGTCCCGGCTGGCACCTTTCAGGGCCAACAGAGGCTTGGCAGTGTTCTGAGTGGAGATGGGTTGATGCAGAGGCTGGACACGATAGTCAGGTGTAGGAGCCAGATGTGGGCTCAGGCCAAAGCACCAGGTTGACCCCCAGCAGAGACTGAGGCCATGCCGCCCACATTCCAGAAGCCTGCTTCAGCCTTGAGAAGAAGGGCAGAGCCTTGGCAACCACTTTGGAAAAGCACTGAGTCCTGGGTTAAGTCACTGACCAGAAGGATCATGAAGACCATGGTTCTTTAAACACGGAGAAGACACTCAGTAGTAAGGTGTCAAGGAATCCCTTAGTCCTCAGAGGTGAGAGGCAGACAGGCCGTGTGCACTGTGTAAATGGTTTTTTTATTTGCCTCTGAAGCAGGGGCTTTAGGTGAGTGTTGTCTGGTGACTCTGGAGAGCTTGAGGCTAAAGATGAAGGGAAGGGCCCTGGGACCTAGGGGATGGGGGACTGGGCCTTATCCCCACCTGGCTTTGCTTGGGGTCCCTGATCAACACTGACCCTGGAAGAGCATCTCGCCTCGGGAGGCTGTCTCATGTCTCAGAAGCTCCCCGGCTTCATGACAAGGCCAGATGGTCAGACCATGGAATAGTGACTCATTTTGGACAGACATCCCTCAGGATTTATACCATGAGCATTTTTCCAAAGCATTATAAACTCCTCTGAATGCCACGTTCTTTAGACTATCCTTAATGAGAAAGAAATGATTTGTAGAAATGTCCAGAGATCAATCAACTGTGGCCAGTAGTTCTGATAGTAAAAATCAGAAAGTGCTGTTTAGTAGTCAAGAGCAAGATATGACTATTAAGTCATCAGACTGATTTCCTTGGTGGCCCCAGGCTTTCTAAGAAGTTGGCTCCAAGAAGTTTTTCACATACAGGCTGCTCAGAGCAGGTGCTTCTGGGATAAGCGTGGAATTATAAGAAGATGTGGGGCAGTTGCTTTGGTGGCTGTGACTTTGTTTTGTTTTCTTTAGTTACGATGAAATTTATATAACGTAAAATTAACTGTTTTAAAGTGTTTAATTTGGTGGTATTTAGTACATTCTCACTGTTGAACAACCACTACCTCTGTCTAGTTCCATCATTTCATCCAGTTTCACCCATGCCAATCCCCCATAACCATAAGCATCATTCCCTATTCCTCCCAGCACCTATAACCACTGATTTGCTTTCCTTTGCTACAAATTTACCTAAGTAGCTCATATAAATGGAACCAAACCACATGTTGCATTCAGGTTCTTTCACTGAGCATCCTGGTGTCAAGGTTCATTCAGTGTAGCATGCATCAGTGCTCCATTCCTTTTTATTGCCAAGCAGTCATCCATTGCACAGAGAGACCACATCTTCTTTATCCACCCATCCACTGACGGACATTTGGGTTGTTTTCCACCAGGCGTGACTTTTCAGAAAGTCATACTGTTTTTTTGTACCCTGGGTCAGCAGCCCTGAGAGCACCTTGTCCCTCTTTCTTCGGCGACACGCCCTCATTTGCAGGCAGCTGCGCAGAGGTCTGTCTGCCTGGCCCCAGTGCTAAACGGCATGGGTCTCCAGACCTGGCCCCTTTCAGGTCCTCGCCTGACTTCTCGTGGCTGATGGCGCACCCGCTGTCTTCCGTCTTTCTCCACACCTAGGAGATGACAAGTACGGGCGGAAGATCATTGTGTTCAGCGCCTGCCGAATGCCCCCGAGCCACCAGCTGGACCACAGCAAGCTCCTGGGGTGAGTGCCCACAGTGGGGTGGAGTGGGGCCCCGTGCCTGGATCCCTGCTGCTGCGGGAGGCCATTGTCCTCCCTGTCCCTTCCTGCCCTGGGAGCACCAAGCCAGCCACCCCCTCAAGGCCTCCCCTCTTCTGCTGAGGGGGCTTCCATCTTATTGATTCATTTCTTTGGCTGCACAGGGTCTTCCCTGCTGCACGGGCTTTCCTCTTATTCGTGTCAAGCACGGGCTCCTCTCTGGTGGCGGCACAGGGGCTCCCCATTGCAGTAGCTTCTGTCGTAGCAGAGCACAGGCTCGAGGGTGCCCGGGCTTCAGGAGCCGCAGCACGTGGGCTCGGGAGTTGCGTTCCTGGGCTCTGGAGCACAGGCCCAGTAGCTGTGCACGGGCTTAGCTGCTCCGTGGCATCTGGGATCTTCGCAGACCAGGTGTTGAACCTGCATTGGTAGGGGGATTCTTTACCACTGAGCCATCAGGGAAGCCCTGTTTTTTTATTTCGATAATTTTATTGGAGCCTGACTGTGCTGGGGCTTCGTTGCCGTGTGGGTTTTTCTGTAGTCTCCTCCTGGCAGTGCACGGGCTTCTTGTTGCTGTGGCTTGTCTTACTGTGGCCCGCAGGCTCGTGGGCGCACAGGCTGCACTAGCTGCAGCTCCTCAGCCAGCCGTTTTACATCTGCGGGGTGGGTGGGCTAGGAATCAGACCTGGTTTCTAGTCCTGGAAGCCATCTGCGTGACCTTGGCAAGTGTCTTCATCTCTTCCAGCTTCTTTTCACTTTTCTTAGGGGATGATACAGCCCTCGTTCCTCGTAGGAGTGAGATATCCCATGTGAAAATACTTTGAAAAGTCAAATACTGTCCAAACGCGAGGCCTGATTAAGATGATGATCAGTCTGAGGCGTTTGCAGTTGCTCACCATTTACATGAATAATTACCATTAATTGTATTTTGTGCCACATCTGGTGAAACGACTTCTGTACCTATGTGGGTTCTGAATGCTAAGTACATGACATAGCTCTGGTTGGTCTGGAAATCTCCGGAGGCAAGTTTGAAGGCTGATTGAAAGCGGAAGTGTGACAGGCTCTGTCTTGCTAAGTGTGGGTCCTTGGGCCCCCACCAGACCTGCGCTGGGTCCACAGAGCGTGCAGGACCCCCAGAGGCAAGGCCATAGCTGCCTTCCTCCTGAGGCTCCTCCTCCATGTGTGCACAGATTCCTATCTTGCCCTCCTTTCCTGACCACTTCAAAGCACTCCCCAAGGTTGATAATGTCTGCCCTGCCCTTACTGGCTCTTTGGGGGTCCTGAATGGTTGTGTATGTGGAGGGGCTGGTGTGGGGCCCAGGACAGTCTGGGGCTGCGGCAGCAGAAAGGCACGGGGGCATGGCGGGGCGTGGTGGATTGCAGAGTCTTTGCAGTCCTATGTGACTGCTTTCCCTCTGGTCTCCGGAGCCCTCCTCCCGGGGCTCCTCGGCCGGCCGTGCAGGGAGGCACAGCCTTGCCTGGGCCTGTCCTGCGGCCCGCCTGAGGGGGGCTGAGTCACATGCCCTCCTCTCTGGTTTTATCTCAGCAACTGGCAAGGCGTGGGACAGACCCCTGGCCGGATGATGGTCCGAGTAGGAGGCAGTCAGAGGGAGGGGAGGTGGGAACGCACCCAGCTTTCAGGGGAGAGCTTGCTGGGTAAGGCCGACCCCTCGGGGGCTTCAGGAAGCCCTCTGTCACCCATCCCGTCCGTCCTGCATTCCTTCCCAGCAGGGTCTTACCCCCTCCACCCGGCCTTGAAAGGAGGCACTTTCATCAGTCTTGTCATCTTGTTTCCAGTCTGATTATCTCAGGCTTGGCTTTTCCCAGCTGTCCAGTCAGATCTGGGGGTTGAAATAGAAAGTGCCTGAAGCTTGGATGCAGAAGACCAATGAAACTTCAGCCCTGCCATTAACTAGCTGTGTGCTTGGGTCACGTCTCTCCTGAGCCCTATAAAAATAAGAATTGTGCTTATCGGGTTGGTGTGGGCCTTAAGTAAGAAAATATACATGAAATGCTATTGTATTCATCTGTATCACAGATTTCAAGGATTTAGAAAAATGTAGATAGCGATTAAGAAGTATAAGTGCGATAAAGTGTCCCATAAACCAACCACCTGGAGAGAAAAACCACTGTTAATATTTTAGTGTATTCACATCCTATTTTTTTTTTCTGTAATATATATTGTACCCTATAGTCAGTTTTATATGTTACATAATGTTTTTATCTTCTGAGCATCAGACATTCCTCAAGGACATCCTTTTAAAAAATTAATATATATGTATCCAGGAAAGCAAGCACATTATGTGTACTACTTGATAAATTTTCAAAAATTAAATATACCCTTATCATCCACACCCACAAACCTCCCTTTGCTCTCCCCGTCACTGCCCCAAAGTGTAACCACTGTTCTCACATCAAGCGTCACAGATTGGTTCTGTCTGCAGAAACATCCTGTGGGGTATTCTGTTTATAGATGTCCTGTGATTTATTTAACCAATTCCCTATTCTTGGACACTTAGTTTGCTGTTCATTTTTCCCATTATAAAACAGGATATAATGAACAGGCTTTTATTAAAACACTCGTGTCCATCTCTGATTAGTTACTGGGGATAAATTCCTGAACACATTTTTACCAGGTCAAACAGTATGAATGTTTTATAGCTTCTGATAAACATCACTTCATTGCCCTCCCAAATGTCCTAACATTTATCAAAGGATGAGTGTATTTTCACTACAACCTTTGCTGTTTTACTTATTTATCTTTGTAAATAAATCAGTTGTGCGGCATGCAGGATCTTAGTTCCCCCACCAGGGATTGAACCCATGCCCATTGAAGTGGAAGCTCTGAGTCTTGACCACTGGACCACCAGGGAAGTCCCTCACTTTGCTGTTTCACAGTTGCAAAATGCCCTCTTTTTATGTGACAGCTTTCTTGCAAAGTGCTCAGTGTGTATGAGGGGTAAATTATTGTGCAGTGACGATGATCAGAATTAAGATAATAAATCTGGCATCAGACACCTCACACGCCCACTAGTGCTGTCCCAGCCCGGTACCCGTGGACCAGTGTTCAGGTTACCCTCTCTGGGTTAAGTCAGATTGTGTCTAGGCACTTAGTCCCATCCTCGGGCACTTTTCCTGGCTCCTTTCCTCCTTCCCCGCATCTCCTTGGAAGCCCTTAGCATTCCTGCATGCCCAGCCTCCCAGCCTGGAGCAGCTTTCCTCCTGGGACCTGGGAGCTGTTGGCCAGGTAGGAAGAGGGTTTTCCCCAGGGCTCCTCTCCATCTCTGGAATTCATATTCATTCACTTCCTACTTTCCCACCTCAGATGAGCCCAGCATCCACGTGTGTGTTTGTATTAGATGGTAGGTATTGTGCTGTGAGGATTGGGAACTTGAACTGTGGGTCCTTAGTCCACAAGATGTCCAGAAAAAAAAAAAAGACTGGAGCAGGAGAGGAGGTCCTGTATCCACTCTGATCCCCTTTTACAGTGTTCTGCAGCCAGTCCTGCGGGTGTAAAAGGCAGACCTGTCCCATGATCAACGTGGCCAAACTTGGAGTCAGTTCACCTCCAGGCTCTCCCACAAGCTTGATCTCTCTGAGCCTCACTGCCCTCACTTGTAAGAAGGGAATAGTGTCAGCCTCCATTATAATGAGGAAAGGTGAGATAGTGTATGCAAAGTGCTCGGTGGACACTGAAAGCTTAATCCTGATCACCATTGACTCACAGCAACCCCGTGAGGGGAAAGGCTATTCCCATTTTGACTGGAGGTATGTGAAGTGAGGTGGCTCCAGTTAGAGTCCTGGTCTCCTGACTTCTAGTCAGTGCTCAGGAGAACTGTTGTTGTTACTGTTATTCCGCTCCCAGCCCAGCTGTTCCTCGTCTACCACAACACGGTGACCAGTTGTTCTTGGGCGGAGGCGGGAGGGGCAGCTTCTTGGGTGCGCAGGGTCTGTCTTACCTGGGCCTCCCCTGCGGACACGCCTGAGTGGGGGTGTCTCTTGCAGGTACCTGAAGCACACCCTGGACCAGTACGTGGAGAGTGATTACACGCTGCTCTACCTACACCACGGCCTCACCAGCGACAACAAGCCCTCCTTCAGCTGGCTCCGTGATGCCTACCGGGAGTTTGACCGCAAGTGGGTGGGGGCCTCAGGGGAAGCTCCAGGGCCCCTGGGGGGCCAGCATCTCGGCCCTATAATGGGCTGCCCTCTGCTCAGGCAGGAGTGTGTACTCCATGCCTGGGGGAGGTGGGTGCCCCCCCCCACCTGGGTGACGGAACACTAAGACTCTCAAATTGGAACAGCCTGGGCTTAAATCCCAGTTTCTCTGCTGAGTCGCTCTGTGACCTTTCATGCTCCTTAACTTCCCCGAGCCTGTTTTCTAACATGTAAGATAGGGCCGCAGTGGCACACACCTGGCAGGCTTACCGGGAGTCATCGAGTCAGGAGACATACATCAAGGCCTGGCTCTGTGCCTGTCCCCCGAGCGCCTGTTCTGCCTCTGCAGGTACAAGAAGAACATCAAGGCTCTCTACATCGTGCACCCCACCATGTTCATCAAGACCCTGCTCATCCTCTTCAAGCCCATCATTAGGTGCGTGGGTTCAGGGTGGGCACTGACCTCTCATGCCCCTCTGTGAGCTGTGACGCAGGCCCCAGGAAGCCACCCATCCTGGGGACAGACTAGTCAGGCTTCTGCCTGACCTGGGTGGGCCGCTGAGAGAGCGTGGAGGCCTGCTGGAGCCGGCCTGCCCTGGACCCACACGTGCTCTCTTCCGCCGACAGCTTCAAGTTCGGGCAGAAGATCTTCTACGTGAATTACCTGAGTGAGCTGAGTGAGCATGTGAAGCTGGAGCAACTGGGGATCCCCCGCCAAGTGCTCAAGTGAGGCCAGGGTGGGGACTGTGTGTGCCCAGGGGGCACTCTCTACACACAGGTCATGGCTGTGGGGGGAGCGCGTGCCAGCCGAGGGGAGAAGCAGCCTTGAGACCCCCAGGATACGCCGAGGATGCAGATGTAATGGGAAAGAGGCAGCACATGGGGTCAGAGTGAGCCAGTTCAGGTCCCACATCTGCCGCTGAACAGCTGTCACTGAATCTTTTCATCTTTGTTTAAGTGGCTTGTGATCGCTTTACACTGTTGTGTTCGTTTCTGTCGTACAGCCCTGTGAATCTGCTCTATGGACACAGTACAGCTCCCTCACCCTGGAGCCTCCCTCCCTGGTGGACACGGGGGAGGGGGTGGGGAGTAAGTGAGAGAGTAGCCCTGACGTGTAGACACCACCGTGGGTAAGAGAGATAGCCAGTGGGAAGCTGCCGTGTACACAGGGAGCTCGGCTCCGGGCTCGGTGATGGTCTTTCTGAAGTCCTAACTTGCTGCTGGGCAAAGCTGGGTTGCTGCGAGGACTGAATGAGGTCATCCATGTAAGGCAGCCCAGTGTCTGACACACAAGAGTTGCCATAGTGACCGCGGGCCAGACTGGGGCCGACCCTCACTGCTCCCGCAGGTATGATGATTTCCTCAAGTCCACACAGAAGAGCCCCGCAACCGCCCCCAAGCCCATGCCACCACGGCCCCCTCTGCCCAACCAGCAGTTCGGTGTCTCCTTACAGCAGTGAGTACGGGAAAGGTGGGGTGGGGCAGGCATCCGAGGGCCGGGAGGGCGGCAGGGCCCTCATGGCCTCGTGCTCGCAGGCTCCGGGAGAAGAACCCAGAGCAGGAGCCCATTCCGCTCGTGCTGCGGGACACCGTTGCCTACCTGCGGGCCCACGGTGAGTGCCGGGCTCCCTCCGCCTTCGGGGAGCTGCGGGGCAGGGCTGGGCGGGGTCGCACGCGCACCAGTACCCGCTCTGACCCGAATGGGAAGCCCAAGATGCGCGGAAGGGGCTGGGGGAGCCCACACGGTGTCCCAGAGCTCTGAGACTCACCAGGCCCGGCCACCCTCAGCTCTCACCACTGAGGGGATTTTCCGGAGGTCGGCCAACACCCAGATTGTCCGGGAAGTGCAGCACAAGTACAACATGGGTGAGTGGCCCCCAGGGGTACGTTGAACCCCGAAATCGTGTGTGTGGGGGGGGGCATGCGTGTGTGGTTTCTGTGGCATTTGGTATGATTACACCGGTCTCACGCCTGCCTGCTTGTCCCAGACCTACTTCCTCCTAGATGAGGTTTCTAGAGGGAGGCGAGGAATAGCCGTGGTGGTGCGTGTTCAGGGGCCCCACTCCGCAAATGGCCTGGCCCTGTGCCCTTGTCTCGTGGGAGGCGGGGCTTGTGGCCAAGGGGGCGGTCAGGATTGGCTGCCGGCCTCCAGGCCCCGCCCAGCTCCTCCGCACCGCGCCCCGCCCTCCCCTCTCTAGGGCTGCCCGTGGACTTCGAGCAGTACAACGAGCTGCACCTGCCGGCAGTCATCCTCAAGACCTTCCTCCGGGAGCTTCCCGAGCCCCTGCTCACCTTTGACCTCTACTCCCACGTGGTGGGCTTCCTCAGTGAGTGCCCCCCGCTCCCCTCCCCAGCGTCCGCAGCGTGGGGTCGCAGCTGGCCTCAGAGCGAGCCTGTCCGCCTGGGAAAAGTCTGGTTGTGGGCGGTTTCCCTCGAGCCTGCTGACAGGGCTTCCCGAACCCGTGTGACCCGGCCCCCATTCCTCACAGACGTTGGCGAGAGTCAGAGAGTGGAGGCGACGCTGCAGGCCCTCCGCACGCTGCCCGAGGAGAACTACCTGGTGCTGCGTTTCCTCACTGCCTTCCTGGTGCAGGTGAGGCTCGGGGCGGGCCTCGCGCGCGCTGCCCTGGAGGGGGCGGGGCCGCTGATCCTGGCCTCCGTTGCCGGGCGAGCGAGGCGGCGTCTGCGGTTTCCGGCTGCAGCGCCCCCCCCCGCCGCTCCTCACACAGGTCTCGGCCCTCTCCGACCAGAACAAGATGACAAACACTAACCTGGCCGTCGTCTTCGGCCCTAACCTGCTGTGGGCCAAGGACGCCGCCATCACCCTCAAGGCTATCAATCCCATCAACACCTTCACTAAGTTCCTCCTGGATCACCAAGGAGAGCTGTTTCCTGGCCCCGATGCCACGGGGCTCTGAGCGCCCGCCCAGCCCGCCCCTGCTCAGACAGCCCCCACTCTGGACTTTCCTTCCTGGCCCCAGCCTCATGAGAGCCTGGGGCTGCTGCCCCGAAAAGGGGCCCTGAGTCCCCCGGAGAGGGACGCTGGGGCCCGCCCCGGGACGGCGCCGCCTCCCTTTCTGGCCGGCTCCCGTGGCCTCACTGGAACCGCAGGACCTTCTCTCTTCGCCTTACACTTCTCACTGCCTCCTTGGGTCCCCGGCTCCGTGAGGCTCTGCGGAGCCGGCTCTTGAGGCGGGAGGCCCGGCCCCAGCAGCCACCCCTCTGCTTCCTCCTGCCTGTATCCCTGGCAACTGGAGGTGCCAGAGCCACTGCCGGCTGGGCTGGGAGCCGGGGCTGGTCCTCCCTTCTGCCTGCGGGGGAGCGAAAGGCTGCGCTGGCTGCGCTGGTCCTGCCGACGCTCCTCCCTGTCTGGGGGAAGGCCCGGTGGCAGGCACCCGGCTCCTGGCCTCTCTCCTCTGACGGCTCAGCCTTTGGCACTTCCACAGCGAACGGACGGCAGGCTGGAGTCCCACGCCTGCCTTCTCTTCCGCACATCCTGGGTCAGCCTTTCCCAGATGGTACTGCCCCCCGGGCATCCTCACACCCCTGGTTCTCCTGCCAGGACTGGGAGCTTGGGTGACGGGGCTGGGACCCTGCCTCCATTCACAATAGACGCCCCACTCTCAGCCCTGACAGCCCCCTAGGGTCCACTCAGACCGGTGACTAGCAGCCCCCCGCCCACCCCCTGCCTTGCCTCTCCTTCCCCCTGACTTGGACACATCCTTGGCCTCGTCTGTCCTGGAGTCACAGGGGGCCCTGCTCCAGCCTGGCCTGACTCAGGGCCTCAGATGGGTGGTGGCTCCTTCCTCCAGTTGCAGGCTCCTGGAGGGGCCGGGTAGAGACTTTGCTGATTAGATTGGCCCCTGCCAGGTAAATTCTAGCAGCCTCCCCCTGGACCTGGTGATGGCGGAGGCCCCTCTTTCCAGCTGTTCCTTCCTGGTGAACCTTCTTCCTGAGGCCTCGGCCGGAGCCCGCACCGTGAAGGCCTCTCTGACCAGTCCTGCCCCATCTGCGAGCTCTGTCCCCAGGACACTGGCGTGTCAGGGCCCCCATGGACGGATGTGGCTGCTGTCAGCCACTGTGTCTCCAGGCCAGGCCCAGGCTTCTACTGTCTGCCTGCCCTGGTACATCAGGTGTTGCTTGCCGTTCCATTTACTGGGGAGCCTCATGATCTGTTCGGTCTCTCTCCTGTCCCCCTCCCCTCGGCCCTCACCACTAGTCTTTACCTGGGGGCGCGGGGGACTTGTACTGTGAATCAAGTGTTCACATTCATACTTAATGACTTCCTTGGCACCAATCATGTATTTTACCTTTGCACTTTTTATATTTCAGTAAAAATCGAGATGGAAAACTTTGCATCTGGCTGATCATAGAAGTGGGCATGGAGGCTCAGAACTGGGTGGGAGGTGCAGGGTGGTTGTGGAAGAGGGGCAGATAGGGCCACAGGAAGCCCCCGCTCCATTCGTCTGACCCCTTCCACATCCCACTGGGATGAAGCCAGCTTTCTGAGCATCTTCCAAGCTTAGAAGCATGAATAGTCACCTTCATTCCAGCTGGCCCCCAAGTGCTGTATCCTATTAACCAGGACCTCCATCCCCCAAACAGAGCAGACCGTGGTGGACCACAGCATGAGCTGTGGAGTCAGGCCAGGATTTGAATCCTGGTTCCATCACTCACAACCAACTCTGACTGGTAGTTGTCATGCAACTGGTCCCATCACTAAGACTGTTGCTTTGTGTCTCGGATGATCAGAACTACAGTTGTCTTTCCTGGATGTGGGGGATGTGTTCCAGCCACCCCCACCCCTAGATACAAAAATCCAAGGGTGCTCGAGTCCTGTATATAAAGTGGCGCAGTATTTGCAACATAACCTACATCTTTTCTTTATTTCTAGATCACTTAAAATATCTAATACAACGTAAACGCCATGTAAATAGTTGCCAACATGCAGCAGATACACATTTTGCTTCTTGAAACTCCCTGGAATTTCCTTTTTCCAAATATTTCTCTATCCAAGTTTGGGGGAGCTCTCAGATGTGGAACCCACAGGTGCAGGGGCCAACCATAATGTACACACAGCATTACAGAATGAGTGCCCAGTGGAAACGGGAATGCTGGTCATGTCGCAGATGAATGAAGTGACAGTCCCAACCTCTGGTAGCAGCCAGGGCTGGAGCCCTCATCTCCTGACCATTGCGGTCCTGCCCATACTTCCCTCAGCCAGAGAGCTTGGCTGTTTCCTCCTGCTAGCCAGTCATGTGGAGGCTATGAAAGATCCAGCTTTCCTCTTTTGAGCGGGTTTGGCTTTGCTTTCAAGGTTAAGATAGGGACTTCCCGGTGCTCCAGTAGCTAAGACTTCATACTCCCAACACAGGGGGCTTGGGTTCAATCTCTGGTCAGGGGACTAGATCCTACTTGCCGCAACTGAGTTCATACTCTGTAACTAAAAGATCCCACGTGCCACAACTAAGACCCAGTGCTGCAAAATTAATATTAAAAGAAAAAACAATAAAGGTTAAGATGGTAAAACTCATATGTATTTTAACACAATTTTTAAAAAAGTGGTATGTCACAGGGAGCACAGGCTGGAGTTTCACTTGGCACAGTGGCCAAGCTCCAGCTGTTAGCTGCTTGCCGGCTGATTGCACTCAGGAGTGGACGGTGGCCTCCGTCGGGCCTGTTTTTTTATCTCCTCATTGCTTGATTTGGTGGAGGAAGGCGGGCCAAAGCTGTATGATCAAGGCAATGGTTATAAACGTTGAGGCGCTGAGCTCCAGGAAGCCAGTCCCCCTCAGCCCACGCCCTCTGTCCAGGTAGCTCACACAGAAGGTGCTGGCTGCCTGTCTCCCTGGGTCTGCTCAACTCTAAGCTGGGGGACTATTTGGAACAGAGGGGCGGTGACCCAAGGAAACGATGAGGCAGGCGGTCGGGAGACAGCTGTTGGTCTGGGTTGGCCTCTGGTAGAGGCCTCTGCTGAGTGACTCAAAAGCCAGTTTACCCCTGCCTTGGCGGCGGTGGGTCTCTAGGGGCAGAGCGTAGGGACGTGCTTTAAAGGGGCAGGACGCTACCAGACGTGGGGCAGTTGAATACTTTGCTTTATTGGGGGGGGCCCAATTGAAAGTGAGGACTCCAAAGACAGTCTTAAGCACCATTTCTGACCCCGGGGTGGGACGCCTGCGTGGTCAGGTGTCATGGGCAGCGTCACATGCAGTTCGCTAACAAGCAAGGGCTCTAGGGCTCAAAGTGGCAGCGGTGGGCAGGCCCATCCTTTTCAGCCCCTTGGAGCTGAATTTAGAATTTTCTAACCTGCCCTTTCTTCCCCTGGGGCCTGGCTTCAGCCTGAGGGGCGTGGGAGGCAACCAAGACAGCACTCGCCTGGGTTTGTCGGCAGCTCCACCTTCTCCCTCTCCTGCCACGGGCAAGACGAGGAAGGAGCTGGCGGCTCCCGGGGGCCAGGCAGGAGTAACAGCCGCAGGGCTCTTCTCTGCCCTGGGGCCAGCTGTGTGTCAGATCGGGGCAGTGTAACACAAGCGCCTGGGCCCTGGACTTCACTCAGCCCCTCTCCTCCCGTCTGGTTTGCTCAGCCACAACCCCTCACACCAGATCGGCAACCATCCTGGTGGTTTGGGGGGTCCCCCGCCCCCTGCCTGGTCTCTCTGGAAACAGGACAAGAGCACTGCCAGCTGTCTTTTGCTGTCTTTAACTCTGAGCCAAAGGCTGGCGCCTGGGGTGAGTGGGGAGCTATGCTGCAGGGAGCCGGTGAGGTCGGGAGGAGCTGAAGATGACGGCCCGCCGTCCCGGGGGCTTTACTTCACAGGCATGTCTGCGTCACACATGTCACCTCACCGAATACGTGTCTCACACTGCTCACACACAACCCCTGAATGGGGACATTACAGACAAGCAAAATGAAGCTCTAAGAGGGGCTTCCTGGTGATCCGGTGGCTAAGACTACCAGCTCCCACTGCAGGGGGGGGCATGGATTCGACCCCCAGGCAGGGAACTGAGATCCTACGCGCCCCACGGTGCAACCAAAAAAAGAGAACGAGCGAGATTTCCTGAGCAGCCCAGGACCCCTAGCAGCCGGTCAGGCTCTGAACCCTTGCGTGCCTCACGTGGCACTTCTCTTCCCTCCCTGGAGCCTGTCAGCGACACCGGGCTGTGCGACGCGGGAGGAGGTGGGCTAGGTTTTCTGACAACTTGCAGGACAGGAAGCGATAAAGTACAGAAAAAGTTTATTGGAAATCTCTTGAATACATTTTAAAGTAATAGCTTAGTATTTCCAAACAGAGTCGGCTGGAGGCACGGAGGGGCTCTCCCCCGGAGACGCGACTGGTCCCAGCCCTGTCTGGGGGATGCTGGAAGTCGGTCTAGGGCTCATACCTGCCATTGCACAGGGCTGAGGGACAAGGGCCGGCCCTGACAGCCGCTCTGCTTCTCCCAGGCTCGGCTCCCAGTCTGGGCTCAGCCTCCCTGGCCTCCCACTGAAGGGGTCCTGAAGAGAGGCTGCTGCCTGCAGATGCCAACAATTCAGAGAGGACAGCGGCTCAGCGGCCTTCCTGTTCGGCCTTGGCAGGAGGGCTGAGAGGCTGGGTGAGGGGGGAGTGGCGGCATCGGCAACTTACCAGGGCCTCCACCCTTCTCAGTGCTGGGGCCCTGGGGGGTAAACCGGGACTGGTGTGGCAGGCCACAGGTGCACTCAGCCCCACACCGGGAGGGCCAGCTGGATGCCACTACGAGGAATGCGCCTTTGGGGCAGCAGCGGGTGTGCGTGAGGCTGAGCTCAGCCCCACGGAGGCGGGGACAGAGCCGAGCCCAGCCCTGAGATCAGCCTCGTAGGTGGGGAGGCCGCCCCCTGCACCCGCTAACAAGCAACAGAGGGCCGCCCGTTCTGCTGCAGGACAGCTTCTGCCAATGAACACCCAGGTGGCCACAGCGGGGAGGCGCGCCTAGTTTTCCTTGGACGGGGCTACAGGTGAGGTGACGAGGAACAGTCAGGGAGTGAGGCTGGGCCCTTGGCCAACTCAAGTAACACCTGAAGGGTTAAGTCAACTGAATGCCCAGCTTTGGTTTCTCAACAAGGAATCGATCCAACTAGTAAACCTCAGGGCAGTGTAGAGACCCTGGGCTTAAAAGAGAGCTGGTGGCCAGGCCCAGGTGGAAGGGGGAGAAGGCCCATGACCCCGTCCCAAGAAACTGGAACAAGTTCCCCAGGAGGAGGGGGCTGCCTAGCCTTCCCCAGGGCCATAGCGGGGGACACACACAGCACCCCGTGGGTACTACCAGTGGTATGACCCTGGTGAGTCATCACATTTTGAATCCAAGACTTCCTGGGCTGCCAGGACAGGGCTTCTCTCTGCAGGAGCTAGGAGATTGAAGCTTCTCCCCAGGAATATGCACGTGTCTAAGGTAGAGTCTGTGGTCAGTTGTCAGTTCAAATGCAGCAATTCTGGGAGGCTCTGTGGTCCCCCGGCCACATTCTGGGATCCCACCTTCTACACCTGGGAAGGAAGATCTGACAGCAGCAGCCCCAAGTCTGAGGAGCTTCTAGAGGAAGAGGCGTTGCCCCGGGGGCCCTCCAACCTTCCCAAGTGAAGACGTCTAACCTCAAACATGTTCTCTCTATAAAGTATCTGATTTCTCTGAAAGTAATAAATAGTGACGGTGTCCTGTAACGGGGAGAGAGTAGGAGAAAGGAGAACCTGTGCTGTGACTCCAGGGACAACTCCTAGAGATGCAGGACTCTGCTTCCACATGGCTGGGCACAGGCAGCCACCAGGGCTGCCCAGATGGGTGGGCACGGCTGACTTTAGAGTTCTCATCACCAGGGGTGGGAAGCCCGCCACACTGCCAAAAATACAGGCCCAGGACAGAGGAGGGAGAAAGAGAGAGGGGAAGATGATACCAGAACTAAGAGGAAAAGACCCTGGAGGAGAGTGTCCTGCCTCCCTCCTCCCAGCTGGGTCTCCTTCCTCCTCCTGCCTCCGCTCCAGCCTCAGGGCTACCAGCTGGAATGTTGACGGCGGATGGCCACAGCAGGCCAGCACGGGGCCAGCTGCTGGGCAGACCCAGGGCGGGGGCTGGCAGGAGAGGCAGGAGGATGGCCTCTGTGAGGCCGCCGCGCGGGTGGCGTGAGCAGAAGGCCCGCAGAGGGCGGGCAGATGAGGAGCCCTTGCGGATGCCGTTGCGGGCCTTCGCTGCTGCCACCGGTCTCCGGGAGGTGCCAGAGCAGGGACTTCCGGGTCCCCTGAGGGGACCAGCCCCCGGCTGCCTGGCCTGGAGCAGGACAAGGCGTGGGAGCAGCTGACGAGGGGGAGGCGCTCTGTCTCCTGGGACTACAAGAAGGGGATGCTGCTGGGACTCAAGGACACCAACTTTTACTGCAGGGTTTCTACAAAGGCATCAAATTCTCGGACATTCTTCTCGTGCGCAGCCAGCTTCTCTGGTAGTGAGTCCTGTGCAGGGAGGGGAGACAAGAGCTGCTTACTCAGTAGGCCGGGAAGCCAGCCATCAGCCGGGACCGCAGGCAGCTCTGCAGGCTGGGTTGCGGAGCAGCTGAGCAGGCACTGGCCAGTGGGGGCTGCGGAGGGGGACAGAGAGCCTAGAGAACCAGGCTGGTCACACACACGATGAGACGGAAAAGGGCCACGCCCACAGCGGGACGACACAGAGAAATCCAATGTGAAATATCTTTGGCACAGATTAGACTGCCATTAGTCTAAGTGGGTTTAGAGCCCCACAGGTTCAGAAAGTGAACGCTATCTTCACAGCCCGCACTGGGCCAGCGGCAGAGTCCCGTGGGGGCACAAACACCAGGCTGTCCCAGCCACACTCTCAGGAGGTTCTGACTCGGTAGGTCGGTGGCCAGGCCTGGGAGTCTGTATCCTTACACCAGCTGAGAAGGGGATGGGTTGGGGGGCGCTGAGAGAACAATGAAAACGAGACAGAAACAGGAGTTAAGTGTAACTGCCCGCAGGCACCAACCGCTAATGAAAACCTGGCCCTAATCATGGGGTCTGGCTCCACTGCGGAGCGCATCGGCAGGGTCCACCCTCCACAGAGGATGCCCTGCAGGTGGGGCAGCTGGCGCCGCAGCACTTTGGAAGCTCAGGCACGCTGGCTGCCGGGGTGTGTTGGGGGGGGAGGGGCGGGGCAATGGCCAGAGCCGGCTGCAACTTCATCTTAAGAGCTTTAGGACTCTGGCTCCTTCCAAGCAAATTTCAAATGAGTCAATTAAAAGCCTAAAATCAGAAGCCCCACTCTCAGGGGTCAAACCTTTGTTTTACTGGCTCAGCAAAATCAACAGCAAGTTATTTGTTTCCAACATCATTCTTCTCATCTGTAAACTAGGATAATAAGAAAACCTACCTCTTGGGGTCACTGAAGATTCATGGAAAGCACTTAAAAAATGCTTGGCACCTAGAAAGCTTCAATAAATGTTAATAATGACATTTTTGCTATATTATTATTACCGAGCAGGCTTTTCTGTTTAAGGCAAATCAAGGGCAGCTGAGCCGAGATACCAATTCCTAAAGCCACTCCTGATTTCAGTATAGGAGGTGATATTTCCACCTCAGGCAGACGGACCCCGACATCTTGTAGCATGGGGCACCCTGGATCTGTGGCTGGGCCAGGCACTCATCTTCCCGTTGAGGAGAGGAAATAGAAAACACCCTAAACGGAGATATGGTCATTACAGTCAGTATCAGGACATCTGGCTGAACACGGGAACAACGCCATGAGTGATGAAAGGGCAAGACCACCACCACTCGGTCCTTCTGCTGCTTCTGCCCTGTATCCCTGGCACCTGCCTGGCAAGCTGAACAGCTGATGGCAAGAGCTGCTGAGGAAGCCTGGCTGAGTGGCATCAGCGAGCAGAGGACATCAGGCAAACAAGAGGAGTGTGTGAGAACCACTGGGATGGGAGTGCAGAGAAAAGGAGGAAATGGAGGGCAAGCAAATTCAAGATAATGACCACAGGGCGCAATGCAAATCTCAAGTGTGATGAAGGAAGGTAATGGTTTAACAGCAGGGTTTAACCGTCTTCTCCTGTGACTGCAAGGTGGGAGGTGTGGGCATGGGGGAGTAGCTGGAAGAAATCTCCAGGCTTGTGGAGCAGCAATGACCATGGAAGGAGGAAGGGAGGCCAGAGGACGAGGTGTGGTGGGGCAAGGGGTTTCCGTACCAAGTCCTCGGCCATGGACTGGGCCCCGATATCGATGGAGAGGCTGCTCAGCTGAGGGGGGTTCTGAAATTCACGATAGAAGGTCCCCAAGTCCATCGGAAGAATGTCGTCTTTAGAAAAAGCTGGTTTCTTAAAAAAAAAAAAAAAAAGAGACCGACTCAAGTTTAGCTTGCCTTAAACCACAGCAGAAAATCAGAGGGGCTTAGCTATCAACACCCCTCTTTCCTTTCAGTAATTAGAAAATAAAGGGCTCCTCCAGGCTGACCTTTGTGGAACTTTTACAGTTTTCTCTTCTGGGCAGCTAAATGCATCCTGGGGATAACCTCCCTCTACCCTGAGGAAATTTCTGTCTCCTTCCTTCACATTCCTATCTTTAGCAAAGGACTATCCATTCATGAATAGGATCTGTGCAGGTCCCACTGGACAATCCAATCCCATTTCGAGGTGAATTTCAGACGTAGCACAAAATGCCTTGCTGCTCACGGGCTTCCACATGTCTCCCCAAGCGGTGTGTAAGGGCAGATTCCCCACGTAAAGTGCATAGCCGGTACCCACAGTCTCTTCCCTCTGCCTGGACTGGCCCATCTGATCCCCAAAGGCCTATTCAAGTGCAACAGAGGCTTCCAGGTTTACTGCCCCTGAAGCAGCAACGGGCAACGAAGGTGCTGGCAACTTACGAAGTCGATCATGACGAAGTCGTCCTGGGTATGGCCGCTGCTGCCCCCGCTGGAGCCGTCAGAGTGCAGGCTGCCCTGGAGAGGAGACGTAGTCTCTGGGGAATCTGGCGGATTCACCTGTTTCAGAACAAGGCGGAGGCAGGGGCTGGTCCTGGGCACTGGCTGTAAACCATGAGCCAGGGGCGTGGCTAACAGTCCGCGGAGGAACAGTGAGTGGGCCAACAAGAAGGACGACCACTGTGGCGCTGACTCCCTGCAAACTTCACTCAGCAACGGACTCACCATGGGATCCGCATCCTCCAGCTCCAGGTTCTTGGGAGCAAACATGGCAAAGGGTATGTCCAAACTGGTCAGAGTCACCTGGAGACGCGGGAGAAAGTATTAGTGCTCCCCCTTTCCCCAGTTCGTCCGCTTCCTTAGGGGCTGCCAGAAGATGGGGTTGGGTGGGGGGCATCTAGCAGGCTCACACACTTCAGCTGACCATGCCACCCTCAGGCTCCTGTCTTGCTGGAGACCCCTCCAGTCTGCCCTGCTTCCCACCACGTGCCCACAGCATCCACAGGACCCTGGAGTTCAGCTCTGGAAGCCTGACCGACAGCAGTTCAGTAACAAGTGTTCCTCACTGGCAGAGCTGAGGAGGACCTTCCTGCCTCAAGTGAGGCTGAGGTGGTGAGACTGCAGTGCAACGTGTGTACTAAGTAGCGTGGTCTTCTCTCCTATGAGACCACAGAGCAATGACTCGTAACTTCCCTGGAGTGATGTCACAGGCTGCTAACCCTCTCCACAGAAGATTCGCGCACACACCCACACCATTTTGCGTGTGATTTCAGTGGCTCCCCAGGCCCCAGGCAAGACTTCACCCTAAGGGCTCACATAGCCTCACAGGTTGCAGGGGCAGGAAAATCACCTGGTTGATGGGCTTGTTGACAAAAGCCCCCACTTTCCGGACAAAGATGGTCTCCAAGACGTCGTGGGGGGAGGCCCGTCCCTCGCTGCTGTTTGACACAGTTTCAGTGTCCTCGCTGGAGAAGAAAGGTCATGTCAGCTCTCCTTCTCAAACCACAGCAGAGCCTCCTGGGTGCCCCGTAAACCCACCAGCTTATGAGGCCACAGCCCGGGAGGGAGCTCCCCTACCAGCCCAGGCGTGTGGGAAATGGCAGTGTGAAGCCTGCCTGAGGCCCCTGTCACCCTCACTTTTGAGAGCAGAGGACTGCATTTCCTGGAAGAGCTAAAAATATGCATATGTGAATGAAACTCGGTGTTACAATTGCACAAAGCTTCCATAAAATTTACCCTGTCATACCAGGGATAAGCATCAGTCACCATGCTCTCATACATGAAGGCAAGCAGCTCTCATAAACAACTAATTTTAATGTCAATTCAGTTACAGAGCCAGACTCAAGATTTTACATTTCCCCTTCCTCATTTTTTTGTTTTGCTATCTGAAGCTCCACACCATGTCTTCTCCCCTCTCCTTGCCCCGAGTCCTCCCTCTGCTCAGCAAGGTCTTTCAACAACACATCCAACCTGGCTGCCCCCTCCCTCTCCTCCCAGGTGGTGCAGTGACAAAGAATCCGCCTGCCAGCGTAGGAGGTGTGAGTTCGATCCCTGGGTCAAGAACATCCCCTGGAGAAGGGAATGGCTACCCACCCCAGTATTCCTGCCTGGAGAATTCCAGGGACAGAAGAGCCTGGTGGGCTACAGTCCAGGGGGTCAGAGTTGGACACGACGGAAGCAACTGAACGACTCCCCTCCTCCCTCCAGACTGATGCTGAGTGCCCAAAGGTGGGGGACGCCAAGCAGAAGAAACAGGAGCTCAGACTGTAAGTCACAGCCCTGCGAGAAGCCAGGGACGGGAAAGCCCCAAAGCAGGGGCTCAAGATGGGGAGAACTATGCAGTCCAAGGGGCTCCCAGTCTCCAGACACCAGGGAGGACCAGCATTTGAGAACCCCCTACACAGGGTCCTCTGTCTTCAGTTACTCCAGGTCATACCCCAGGAATCTAGGCTCAGAATATGTGAGTGTAAAACGACTACAATGGGGCTTCCCTGGCTGTCCAATGGTTAAGACGCTGTGCTCCCACTGCAGGGCACACAGGTTCAATCTCTGGTAAGAGAACTAAGACCCCGCATGCTGCAAGGTGTGGCCAAAAAAAACAAAAAACAACACTAAGAGGATCCCCCTTTGATTATCTAATAAGAGGAAGGATAAGAGGATGGAATTTGAGGGGCCAGGCATGAAAGTAATTATTTTTCCTGATGGATGGCATGGAAAGATCCTTCCAAATAAACCCCCTCCCCCAACTCCACTGTGGGAATGGAAAAAAAAAAACCCAGGAATTTCTAATATCTGAAAGTTCATTTAAGATGCGATGGGGCAATTGACGTCATTATCTCTGGGGCCTTCCAGTTAAGAGAGGGCAGTGCAGGTCAAGACAGGCCCAGCTTCCCACAGAACTCTGGGTGAAATGGAAAGAGGAAGTCTGGGCTCTGCAATCCGAGAAGCCAGGCCTGTGCCTGGCCATTCTGTGAGCTAACTGCTCTCTTAGGCCAGTCACTTAACCCTTCTGAGATCCTGTCACCTTTTAAAAGGAGGTAACGTGGTGATTTTTGAAGGGTGGGATTATGAGAACTTTCCACCCAATCGGTATCACTTCTGCAATCAGAAAAGACAAAGATTTCTTTTTGTATTCTAGTAAGGAAAAACAGTTGTTTCTACAGTATCTCCAGGGGGCACTAACACAGTAGAAAAAGAAAATGGACCCTAACTCCTACTGCAGATACACCATGACTCTGATGTCACAGGTGTGGTTAACAACACCCTGCTCTGGTCTCAGGAAATACTGAGGACGCCCAGGGAATCCATCTCAGGGGACGAGAGGAACATCTCAAAACACCTTCCCTGCATCAGGGTGAGGCGTGCCAAGCCCAGCCGCCTGCTGTCAGAAGCCAGTAGTGGTGCCCCGGGCAAGCCCCCCTTACACATCAGCTGCAATGCAAGATTCTTATTGGGCATTTGAAGGATTCCACATTTTCCCTGCAAATGCCAAGCCTGAGCCAATGCTGAAAGCTACTCTTTACTTGCTGATACCAAATAAGCAGATGTGTTGGGGAGGACAGGCCCCTGGCTGGTCTGAAGACCAGCTGAGCCAAGACGTGAACTCACCTGCTGGATGGTGTGGCGGCGCAGTGGGCCCCATCAGAAGGGGTGTAGGTTGCCAGTCTCTCCTGGTCAGCCTGGGCACCGTGGGCAGGCTGGTTGGGACCAAGGGGTACCCCACCTTCCTTCCCGGGGACCATTAGCTTTGGGGAAAAACAAAAAAATTCAGTGAATCACGGCAACCTCAGGCAGGAGGGGAGACTTGCTGCCTAGCATGATGTCATCGGCTTTCCAGCTTTCCCATCACCAGTGCTCCCACCAAGTGGGCAGGAAACCCTGGAAATCTTGATCCTTTCTGGGACTCACTCAGTTAGTGGAAGACATGCACAGAAGTGACTACAGAGGGAAAGAGAGGGGGAAAAACACTCGGGAAGCTCTTCTTTCCTTTCTGAAGTGTAACAGGCAGCCTCTCAGAATCATCTTAGTCCTCCGAAGTTACAGAAGAGCTTTGGTTCGGAACGCTTAGAACACTGGTGTCTCAAGAGGCCCCTCGAGTGTGTCTGGGCAGGGGAGGCAGCAGAGGAACCCCTAGTGTCCTCCCCATCTTTAAAGATACCTGGTGAGGGTGTGTGGCATTTAAGCCAGCAGCAAACACTACTGGATAAGCCAGGTCAGCAGATCCAACGCCCAGGGCAGCAGGCTGATAGGAAAGGCGAGAGCTGGAGAGCTAAGCAAGAGAAAAACAAAGAGGGGCAGAGGAAAGGAGGAGGGAAAAACAGGCACTCCTAGAGTATGACCAATGATCCAGGTCAGCAGAGAGTAAGGAACGGATCCCAGCCCACAGCCTCACAGTGTGTGCGTTGCAGGGGAGGGCCTGATGTGAGGGTTAAAGACAGACCAGGCCATTACTCTGTAAGTAAGAAAACAGACTGACTGCAGTGGGACTGACAGTCTCAGCTCTGTGCCTTCCAAAGGCCTCAGATGAGTTGCCTGCTCCCCCTTCTCCCAGGGGTTCAGCTAACTGGTTCAGTTTCCAGCCCAGGAGATCTGTGGAGTACCATCTGGGCAGAACTGGGAGCCAGACCATCAGTTTTCCCAGGTCATTCTAGTCTCTTCTTTGACCTTGAGGTCCCTTTGAAACACAAGGCATCTTCTTTAATCACACCCTCCATTACCACTGGTTTTGGGAGGGTTCCTATTTATAGTGAAAAAGAAAGAAAACCACTCTTGGAAGGTTTATCTGGGAAAAAAAAAAGATCTAAACAACTCCATGTACTTTTCACATCAATGGCAGGAGGAGGGGTGAATGATGAATCCTATTTTGGGCTGCTGTGCAATGGCTGCATCCTGTTAAAAATCAATTACCGCACCTCAGAATAACCCACAGAACACTTGGGGATATTTAAATAACTATACCCTGTGCTTTATTTATAGTTTTCAAATAAAAAGAAACCATCTGATAATATCCCCTTCTTCCCAGTATGAACTCACTTGATGGGAAAAGGCCAGTCCTGCCGTGGGGACCCTCAGAGTGTCCGTCACCACAGGAGTAGGGGTCTGAAAAACTGCCTTTGTGACAGTAAACACACACTGTGCACAGATACACACAGACAGGAGAAACAGAGAAGAAAAAAGAAAAGGGACTTGAGAAAGAAGTGAAAAAACTCTGCAAAGGGCAGTAGCAATAGAGGCTGAAATGTACAGTGGAGTCGGGAGGGAAGCAGGGAGAAAGCTGTATGACTGCCTTCTGAAAAGGACCGCTTGGAAAGGTGTGAAGAAGAGAGTTTATCCCTGGCGTTCTCCCTGACGGGCAGGTGGAAAGCAAAGTGGAGATGAGTGGCTATGACTTGGTGAAACCTGAACCAAGCATTAGCCTGCCTTTAGTCAAAAGAGGCTTTTAGTCAAAAGTTTTTTAGAAAACTTCCAATAGGAGGGTCCTGAGAATGGACACAGGGTATGCTAAACAGGAATGAGGACACTCAGACTAAGATATTAGACTGAAAGCCTTTTTCTGGGGACTCAGAATCTACAGGCTCAGGTTTAAACAGCTGATGTTTGATGGCTGCACTTTTAAAATGCTCAGGTACCCAGTGGCAAACTTTCCTGCATCAGCTCAGGGAAGATGAGGCGGTGTGCAGGTGTAGGCATCAGGGTGTGTGTGTGCACACGCTCACAGTCCCTGAGGGTGTAGAAGAACTTGATGGAGTAAAGGCTGGGGCATTTTCAAAACTCAGGATTTCAAAGCTAATTATAGGCAAGATGATTGTTTTGGGTCTTGCTGTTCCATCTTTAAGTCTCGCCAATTACCTAATTAATTAATGCCTAGAATTGGAGGGAGGACCTCAAGATAACCGTATAGGTTCTGAGTTACAACTATTTCTTAACTAGGCTCTGTGGCCAAATGATAAAATGATCCTTACTTTACTAGAAAAACAAAACCAAACCAGCCCATTAACAGGTATTTACTAGATACAGCAAGAGCTCAAACAAATTGTTGAACAATTATGCAATTCCCTAGATTAAACCAAAGAAGAAACTGTTTCAGTATTTACAGGAACGAAGAGACCAGGTGGTAAATGATTTTTCTCTCTCTGTTCTACCATCAAGCTTCAAAATGAATATGTCTGCACCAAACTATAGTCTTGACTACAGGTTCTCAGGGAGCAGTGCCAAGGCTCACCCACTGGGTGCTCTCTCTGATGGAATCTTGACAAGATCTACTTTTAAACTGTAACAAGACACAACAGGCAACTGATAACATGAAACATACAGGCTCTCCTTACACAGGTTAATAAACCTTTCTGCAAACCTCTGCTACAGAAACAACAGAACTTTCATTTACCTTTGGGGTCAGGCTGAATTTCCACTGTACCAGAGAAAAAGAAAAACTGATGTGTTAAAGCCCCCAGTTCACCATCCCTAACATTGCCCAAGTTTACATATTGTTTATGAGTTTATCAGTTGTTAAATGAGCATTAAATGACATATTAATATTTTGATGATTTAAAAAACCATCAACTCATGAATGGGCACTAGTAAGAAAGTGGGCTTCCCTCCTTTTTTGGGTCAGTATTGCTCCCTGTCAGCAAGCATCCCAGAAGCCACCCTCTTCCAGAGCAACAGCAAAATGTATGCCTGTATATATAAATGGGAAGAGGGGAAGAATAACAATTCCTACACCCCCAAACCAAACTGAAACAATTTCACAAGAATCTCTTAAACTTTAAATTGTCACATTAGAAATAGCAGTGATCCATGAATTTCTGTGAAGTCCTTCACACATAAGTTAGCTTTTATGCTTAACCCCTGCTTTTAAAACAAATTAGAACCATGATTTTAATTTAGTATCTAAAAGCATAGGATGGAATAAATTTAAATTTTTTCTTAATGAAGAAAATATAGAGGATAAAAATGTATGGATAGCTAATAAATTTGTTGGGTCCCACTCCAAGTAAGATGATGAAAAAGGGTAACTGGGGGCTAATTTAGGCTTCCCAGGTGGCACTAGTGGTAAAGAACCCACCTGCCAATGCAGGAAATGTAAGAGATGTGGGTTCGATCCCTGGGTTGGGAAGATCCCCTAGAGAAAGGCTCCAGTATTCTTGCCTGGAGAATCCCATGGACAAAGGAGCCTAGCAGGTTCTAGTCCATAGGGTCACACAGAGTTGGACACAACTGAAGTGACTTAGCATGCACACATGCATGGGTCTAATATAAAAGAAAGTAGAATTCACTTAGGGAACCATCTAATATGAAAGAAAAGAGGAGGGAAAAAATAGAGATGATGCGCAGGCAACAGGTAGATGATGAACAATTTGGGGTGGAAGAGAAGAAACGTGCCCTAAAATTTAGTCAGCTGGAAAAAATGACTCCTTATCTGAAGCAGTCTAAGAACCACATGTATATCATACAACACTTCTTTGGGGAAAGTGTTCACATTGCTTGGAGCCTGTGTTTTTATTGAAACTGGCTGTGACACTGAAGATGGATCCTAGTGGAAAAGTTAATGGTTAATCATGTTCAGAGAGGGAATGTAGACAAGCAGATATCTATGTAACTATTAAGGAAAACTGCATAGCTGGGGTCTTAATGGCATTTTATGCTAAATGATCACTGGCTCCTTTTTTGCTCCTTTCATTATCAGGAACCATATTTAGGAACCACTTCAAAGAAGCAGCAGCTACTGGGACCTCCCTGGTTGTCCGGTGGTTAAGACTCCATGCTTTCATCATGGGGGCAAGGGTTTGATCCCCGGTCAGGGAATGAAGATCCCAGATCTCAAGTGCCACTGGGTTCGGCAAAAAAAAAAAAAAAAAAGAAGTAGCTACTAGTCCTAACAAGTGTAGGTTTCAGTGCCTCTCTGGTATCAGAACACAATTCTGATTTTGTAGGGGTTTTCTGTGACTGATTTTCTAGGGAATTTTAAGATGTCGCCAAGGAGGTAAAAGTTACATGGAATCTTGCATGTTAAGATTACAGACTAGAAATACTACAGTATTATCTGCTGGGTAAGAAGGTTCTCCTTTACTCCTCAAAATAACCCCTTGAAATAATCACCACCACCACCACCACCAGAAGAGATTGTTACCTAAATTTTCACATGAAATTTTCATTTCATAAGGCCCATCTATGTACCAAATAACAACCACCATGCCAGAACCTGTTCCCCCTACCTGGGAGGGAGGCGAGGTGGAAAAGGAGGTGGTGCACACTTCTTGAGAATCTTCCACAGAAGGATACGCTACTCCAGTGTCCTCACCGGCAGTTCTGCAGTGAGGGGGAAAGAAATCATGAACTGACTGATGGCTCTCAGTTTCAGGGAGGACCCAAAGAGAGTGGAAATAGGGATGCAAGTTGTGGGAAGAATTCTTTCTGGCAGTTCCTAATGTCAAGCGAGGTGTACTGAGTCCTTGATAATTTCAAACATGTTCAGAAAGCAGCATCTAGAGGTTGACAATGGCTTTTGTTGTTTTTTACTCCAAACATTGCATCTGATATATCATTTGAAAGTATTTTTTTTAAGCCTGGCCAGTGTAGGGTCAAAGAATCATCAGCAACAGAGAATGCAGTGAAATAAAAATCTAGACTCCAAAGACAAAAACCGATCCAACTTCATGAGTCCGTCACAGAAAGGTAGCATCTTTCTTGGTACACACCTATTCCAATCTCTCAACAATTCTGTTTTCTGGGATCTAGGCCTGGAGATGTTTGATTCTGAGGAATAAAACTGAATTGTGCCAATGGTGACCTGAAAACCACCTAATTTGCAAAGGACATTCTCCACATTACTGCCACTCTCAGAGTTTCTAAGTAAAATCAAACCAAAAGTCAAATCAGTACTGTCTAGGTCAAAATATCCACGGATTTTCTGAGACGTGGTCTACCTTTTGTCCTGGGGTGCCTGACAGGCAGCAGCAAGGACACAGCCAGCCACTCCACCTCCCTCCCCATGGGGTCTCCATCCATGTGCCCTGCCTTTCGGTGAGTGTGGATAAAGGTGCTCTACGGGCCTGGGCGAGATGGATGTTTCCGCTAGCCAGTCTGGAAAAGAGTTTTCCACATTCCTCACCTGTAATTGCAGGGGTGCATGGGCGAGGAGCTGGGATAGGGACGGTCCACAAAGTGATCAATAATAATGCCCATGATAGGTGGGGTCCTCTCAAAGTGCCTGTAATGCAGTAAGCAGATGGCCGCATTTGTTAGAATGCCTTGTCACGCCCCCTGCAGCCCTCCGAGACCCCTTTGCCTCTTATCTATTAGAAGGAACCACAGAGCCTCAACCCCTGCATCCCCGAGAATAAACCACCACTTCTATGTTGGCCCTGTGACACTCAGCTTCTCCAAGCTGGAACCTGGGTTCTCTCAGTTCAGCCATGGCAACGCTGAACTCTAGGCCTAGCTGAGGGGAGGGGGAGGAGGGGTTGGAAGAAAAACAACTTTAATTTTTTATTATCCTTGGAAGAGTTCCTTTTTTTTTTTTGGAAGAGTTCTGTTGGATTCCAAGGTTCTTTCCTCACCTGGTGGACATGAATGCCAAGTTAATTCTGTAAGCACAGGAAAGAGTGATGGTGCCCACAGGGGTACCCACTGTCCCAACACGAACTGTCTGGAAACCTAGGAAAAGAGATAAATAATTAGCTTTTTTCCAGACAATACTGACACTACCATCAGTACGTCTTTCCCTGAACCATTCAGCCGCTTGTACAACCTCTGGCATGACCCACTTAGCTACCTTGAATGCAGCAGACAATCGTATGAAGGATAACAAAGAATTCTGAGTTACTAGAACTTTTGGGAAAATTATTCAGTCATTCCCTGGTGGCCCTCCAGACCTCCCACCTGTCTTCTCCTTACTTGTATCACACACACTAAAATCACAAGCTATGTATTATTGCAAGCAGCATCCAAGCACATCTCTGAAGTCAGGAGAACACTCAGCAACACTACAAATGCTTTTAACCTTGACACATACCTTCCCCTAAGCCATTCAGCTGGACGTCCCCAAAATATATCCTGTAGGGAAGACAGAAAAATATGTTACTTGATTCTTTATTCTAAGGGCCTGCATACTAAACATCTAGAAACAGATTCAACAAAACCAACCCTTCTTTTCTTATCTGCATGAACATCTCTCCGAATGGAGCAGTATTGCTACTACTTGATTAAGCTGTAGGCATGAGGATAGTTATGGAGAGGACTGGTTAAAAAATTAGAAAAATAAAAATTAAGTGTAACTTGCTGTTTAAGTTTCTTATTCCTGCTTCTGCAGCATATTTGTAAAGTTATATGCATGCTTGCATGCTAAGTTGCTTCAGCTGTGTCCAACTCTTTGTGACTCCATGGACTATAGCCCGCCAGGCTCCTCTGTCCATGGGATTCTCCAGGCAAGAATACTGGAGTAGGTTGCCATGCCCTTTTCCAAGGGATCTTCCTGACCCAGGGATTGAACTCGAATCTCTTATGTCTCCTGCATTGGCACGTGAGTTCTTTACTACTAGCACCACCTGGGAGCCCTTTGTAAAGTATACCTATTGGGAAATAGAGAATATACAAACAAAATTGGCAGATAGTTCTGGAACTTCTATTAGAAAACATAAGACTTTTTTTTTTAGAATTGACCTATAATTGACACACAACATTATATTAGTTTCAAGTATATATAATGATTCAATATTTGTACATTGCAAAACAATCACCACACTAAATCTGGTTAACATCTGTCATCATTCACAGTAACATAATTTTTTTTTTCTTGTGATGAGAACTGTTAAGGTCCACTTTCCTAGCAACTTTCAAATATGGAATAGAAGTCACTAGATTTTGAAGTGTGATCTTCATTCAAAGTGGGCTCACTCTGCTTATCAAAAGTCATTCCATCATTCCAAAGTAAACTGACTAAGAAATTAGAATATCTTTTCCACCACTGAATAAATAGGCAAGACTATTCTAAAACTATAAAAATCTAAACACAGTAGAACCTTTCCATGAATCTCCCTGGGAAAGTCAGTCTATATTAGCAAAAAGTCTGAATTATAAAACACTTACAATGTATTTTTATATTTTTCAAGTAATACTGTTGAAAATTATACACATACATGGGTTTGTTCAATAAAAACTAAGCTCTGACAATCTACAAAGCCCTATGGTTAGATGTTAGGGATGAGATAAAGATAAATTAGGGACAAGCCCTAGGATGAATCTGAATCCTAGGTCTCACAGATTACAGTCTGGAATGGAAGAAAAGAAACATATATACATATCTGAAATACATGCACAAAAGTGATAGATACCATAAAACAGGGGTTAGCCAACTTTTGTCTAAAGGATCAGTTAGTAAATATTTTAGACTTGTGGGACTTATAGTCTAGGGCATCTACTCAGCTCTGCTCTCATACTACAAAAATAGCCACTGATAATAAGTAAATGAATGGGGTGGCTATGTTGTAAAATAATTTTATTTATAAAAACAAGCAGATGGGGGAAGAATTCCCTGGTGGTCCAGTGGTTAGGACTCTCTGCTTCCACTGTCAGGGGCCCAGGTTCAATCCCTTGTTGGGGAGAACTAAGATCCTGCAAGTTCTACAACTTGGCCAAAAGAAAAAAAAGGAGTTGATAGGGTTGCTAGATGACTTCAACAGAACTAGTTAATTCTCTAATCCGTGGTCCTTTCATCCTGTTATACCAATTCTTTTCAAAATCAGCTCTTTGCATGTAAGCCAGAGGCCAACACCCATGCTCCTCATTAACATGAAACAGAGTCCCAGCCGATTTGGGAACCCTGACTTTCCAGGCTCTGCTCTCACACTTGGCTACATAGCCTCTTCACCACCACTCTGGTCCAGTCAACAACCTGTATCAGTTCAGTCGCTCAGTCGTGTCCAACTCTTTGTGACCCCATGGACTGCAACACGCCAGGCTTCCCTGTCCACCACCAACTCCCGGAGCTTCTGCAAACTCATGTCCAACTTGGTGATGCCATCACTTCATGGCAATAGGTGGGGAAACAATGGAAAGAGTGAGAGACTTTCTTTTTTTGAGCTCCAAAATCACTGCAGATGGTGACTGCAGCCATGATATTAAAAGACGCTTGCTCCTTGGAAGAAAAACTATAACCAACCTAGACAGCATATTAAAAAGCAGAGACATTACTTTGCCAACAAAGGTCCATCTAGTCAAAGCTATGGTTTTTCCAGTGGTCAGGTATGGATGTGAGAGTTGGACTATAAAGAAAGCTGAGCACTAGAGAATTGATGCTTTTGAACTGTGATGTTGGAGAAGACTCTTGAGAGTCCTTCGGACTGCAAAGAGATTCACCCAGTCCATCCTAAAGGAAATCAGTTCTGAATATTCACTGGAAGGACTGATACTGAATTTGAAACTTAACACTTTGGCCACCTGATGCAAAGAACTGACTCACTGGAAAAGACCCTGATGCTGGGAAAGATTGAAGGTGGAAGGAGAAGGGGACGACAGAGGATGAGCTGGTTGGATGGCATCACCGACTCGATGCACATGAGTTTGAGTAAGCTCTGGGAGCTGGTGATGGACAAGGAAGCCTGGTGTGCTGCAGTCCATGGGGTCTCTAAGAGTTGGACACAACTGAGTGACCAAACTGACTGAAGATTTAAAAATCCTTTCCACAGCAATCAAGACTGTGTATAAACAAAAGGATAAAGAACTTGGTTGCTTTGGAAAAAGCTGAAGTTCCTAAAAGAGAATAGATAGGCAATCACAGTAAAGGTATAGCATCAACCATCCAAACATCTGTCCAAAAATTAATTATGGAATACCTGAATGCTGGTCAGACAATGTGCAAATTGATGAGTCCAAAGTGTGAATCATGAAGGTGAGCTGTTTACCTGTATAAGATGACATATTCATGCCCTTGCTTTCTGGAGAGTCTGTATGCTGGAGTCACCCTAGTTATAGCAAGCAGAGACTTCAGCAGCAATGACAATCTGTTGTACACGGCATAGGAAACTTTGATTTCTTTATCACACCTGAGGAGCAAAGACACATCAGCATTCTCCTACTTGGCTAACACAAAACAAAGAACAAAAATGCAATGGATAGAGACATTAGTTATGTTCCATGGAGTGACTGACATTATTTGTCAGCATTAGAATATATAACTGAATAACCTTACTGTACACTAGAAACTAATACGACATTAAAAATCAACTTAATACTTCAATTTTAAAAAGTCTTAAAAAAATCTGTTGGCATTATTTATAAATTCTGATAGACTATAACCTGATTTGCAGCCTAAATAACATTGTACAGAGTATTACAGTCAAAAGAGATAGTTGCTAATTAAATGCTGGAACTGTATAAGATTAAATTTATAATTAAAACATTTCTGAACTAAACTTGTAATTAGAGTGCTCTGTCAGTTTATCAACAAATTGTTGATGTTAACCAAAGTTTTACTTTCCCATGCACCAGACAAAATCAGGTGAGCAACAAAAGGTCTCTAATATATTTTTTTCTAGCTGTGAAGCAGTTATCTTTCTAAAAATAAAGCAGAACACTTAAAAACAGTTAATTCAATATTGCAGTTGTATTACTGAAAGTACAAACATAATATCAGTGTACTATCTTACGTCAGTCTACTTCCATACATCTAATAGGAAATCTGGAGAAGTACTTGGTACAAAAATTTTGGACTATAACCTGGCAATTGCTTTTTATTTAAGAAAGAAAAATAATAATATGAGTGCCTACACCACTCATACTTATTAAAAAGTTTTTTTTTATGTGTCACTATTTCCTCAATTTTCCTAAATATTCTTCTTGAATTTCGGGCAGGAATTCAGCTAATCTGCCCTGAAAAAAGAAAATGGAGGGGAAAATAACAGGCACTCCCAGTCCGTGACCAACACAGCATGTCTGAAGGAGTGGTGAGGGGAAATCTCATTGGATGTCTGCCACACAGAAATAGACAAAACAGAGTAGTCATGTTACAAGAGCTCAAGGGATTGAATCAGGGAACTATGTGTACTCTGGGAAAACAACAAATCCTTTTTCAGCCTTCTCTCTGCTCCCCTCCTTGGGTTGTCTGAGTCTCTCTGGACCGACACTCCTTCTGAAGGTCATTGCTATGCCTGGGCTGGAAGCCAAGCATGAAGCCAACTGCAGCAAAGACCTACCGGCTTTGTTAAGTGGTCAGAACGCTCCCCATGACTGATACAAGCCCCGCTTTTCATGTGCTGTTGTGCACTTTATCCTCAGCAACCACAACCAAGGATTCTAAGACAGAGCACTTCATATTTTTTAAATTTATTTATTTTTAATTGAGGGATAACTGCCTTATAATACTGTATTGGTTCTGCCATGCATCAACATGAGTCAGCCATAGGTACACATATGTCCCCTCCCTCTTGAACCTTCCTCCCCTGTCCCACCCTACTTGGTTGTCACAGAACATCAGTTTGAGCTCCCTAGAGCACTTACTTTTCATTCATTTCCAGACACCAGATTTCTAGCTCCATGGAATCTCCCTATAAATGGGAGAATAAAAGGTATTATCAAGATATTATTAAAAGATATTTCAGTTTTACTTTTGATAATCTTTTTTCTTATTATAAAGCACAATACAGCCACTATAAAAATATTACAAAGTATAAATAAGCAAAAAGAAGACATCAGTTATAATACAATCAGTGATTTTTCTAAATAAAAGTAAGCTTATACCATATGTTCTATTCTTTATCTTTTTTGTTTTGTTTGTATATACTATTTTTATCACTTTTGTTGTGCTTTTGAACTGTAGTGTTGGAGAAGACTCATGACAGTCCTTTGGACTACAAGATCAAACCAGTCCATCCTAAAGGAAATCAGTCCTGAATGTTCATTGGAAGGACTGATGCTGAAGCTGAAACTCCAATACTTTGACCATCTAATGTGAAGAACTGACTCCTTGGAAAAGACCCTGATGCTGGGGAAGACTGAAGGCAGGAGGAGAGGGGGAGGACAGAGGATGAGATGGATGGATGGCATCACCCACTCGATGGACATGAGTTTGAGCAAGCTCCGGGGAGTTGGTGATGGACAGGGAAGCCTGGTGTGCTGCAGTTCATAGGGTTGCAAAGAGTTGGACACGACTGAGCGACTGAACTGAACTGATCACTTTTAAATTAGTAAGTACAACATGGAATTCTCCTTATAATTAAAAATTGTACATTATTTTTAATGGCCGCATAGTATTCTACCAGGGCTTTCTAGTGGCTCAGGAGCAAAGAATCTGCCTGCAATGCAGGAGAGCCAGGCTCTATGTGAGGGCAGCTCTTCGGCTGCAGAAAGCGAGGACTAGTCTGTAGCTGAGGTGCCTGGGCTTCTCGCCGTGGTGCTTCTCTCGTTGCGGAGCACAGCATCCAGAGCACAGACTCAACAGCTGCTCCACAGCACGTGAGATCTTCCTGAGTCAGGGGTAGAACCTGCATCTCCTGCACTGGCGGCAGATGACCACTGAGCCACCAGGAAGTCCAGTGACAACAGCTGAGGATCTGACTTCACAGACGCCTGAGAGAGGAGAGAGCTCTTCCTTTCGGACTCCCTAAGGATCACTAAGGAAAAGAGTTCATAGTATACACTGGTAATTCAATAGAGAGAATAGAATGCTTTGTTTTATCTAGTACTAAGATTTCCACAGAATAAGTACTGACATCATTCACACAATGAAAAACTGAGAGCCTACTGTGTGCCATCCCAGGCACTGTGATAGGCACAGAGATGATTATTTATTATATCCTGCCTCGTTTCAAAAAGAACTGAAGAACTATACAGATAAACAAGATGTGGCATAGCTGCTGACCTCAAGAATAAAAGTGTAAAGTATCAACAGGAACATGTAATAATTGCCTACCATATTTTATTTATGTACTTTATAAATAAGAATTAAATGAAGAAGTATAGCCCCACAAGACTGTGAAGTGTGGTGGTGGAAGAGGTGGGGCTAAGTAATTTGGCCAGAGTTGCTCAGCTAGGCTCTGAATTTGGGTCTGTATAGCTCCAAACTCCATTAGCCTTTTATTATTCCATGCAGCCTCACAATCCTGTAGTGGAAACAGATAAATAAACATACAAAAAAAAAATCTGCATCGTGGAAAAAGGTGGAAAAACACATTAAAAAAAATCACATTCCAGCAAGTTATACTCTAAGAAACAAATATAAACAAAGCACACGGGAAGTCTCGAGAGGGGCTAGAAAGGGAGCTCTTTTAGAGCATACGAGCGTTGAAGGATAAGTAGGAACACATCACTTACAGATGATATGTGAAGATGAGAGTGAAGAGTCTACTTCAAGTGGCTGGAAGAATAAGGTCAAAAGCCATGACCCCCCTGGAGAACCATGAGACAATCAGAGAGGGGAAGCGCAGGAACAAGGCTGAGCTGGAGCCAGAGTGTAAAGTGCTTTGGGTGCTGAGTTAAGACCCTGTCCTGGCCATGACCTTACCTCGGAAGTCTTGAGTGAGATCTCCACACACATGGACCTCCCAACAGCAGGCAGCTGCCCTGCCAGGGCCTTCTTTGCCTCATGTGTAACCTCTGGGATGTCTTTGATCGCTAAATTGAACTAGAATACAAGAAGAACTTTGTGTTAAACACTTACAAGGAATATTATGGAATCAAAGTAGTAAGACTGGATGCTGAATAACATAGGCCTTGCCCTTGACTGATTAAGGACAGTCATTCACTTCTCCTTTCCCCTTAAGAGATGTCTTGTACCAAGGTCCCAAAATTCAGGTTGATAAGTTTTCACTCATCACAGAGGAAAACCAAAAAAACATCCAGGACTAACATTTAATGAAGAACATACTTTGCAAGAGAATGGATCAAACAGAATTAGGCATTTTAATGTTATGACTTTGTAATACTAGAAATATTATTATTTATTACTACACCATGATTCCTTGTGACAAACATCATAGTATATCCCTCAGCAAAGAATAGAAATTTTACCCAGTCTGAACCCGTTGGGGAAGAAGATGAACGAGTACAAATCTTCTCTCCCAGTCGAGCCTGGACAATCACTTGGACAGTCTAAAAAAACGAAACAAACAAAAAAATCAAAGATGAAAAGTTTCAACAAACTGATTTGGCTCCTAATCAGGATTAAAACCTTCTCAATTCAGGGTTAAAAAGATGCCAATGACCATAACTATACTTCAGGAAAGGATAAGATTTAAAACCATCAAGAACAGAAAAAACATGGCACAAAAATAATACTGTAAATATTCCTGAGGACCTAGTGTCAACCAATTAAGAGAAACCACAGTTTGAGGCTTGTAATCTATAATACACTCACATGGCAGAAGGAGAGCTGCACATGGCGGCTCTGACTTTCATAAAGAAACAAGTCCAATCGTAGGTTTAAATATTCACTGCCATACACTTATGTAATCATAGTAGATTTAAACCAAGGAAGCCACAATTATTCATATGACTTGGCCCATATGGCAAAAGTCTTCCGGCTAATTTTACAACCAGAATCTACTGCATGGCTTGTTCTTACATAGCAATGGTTGAGAGGAAGGAGAGATAGAGGTGGAAATGATTTTTAGATTTAGGAAAATATGCCTTCTAAAGCACTCAAAATCCAAGTTTTAATTTTTCATTTACACAGAAGGGGACAATAAGTGAAAAGTGAGACACTTCAGAGGTAGATAGTTGATGCTTAGGGAAAGATGCCCAAACTGCTGTCCATTCTAGTCCCGTCTTTGTTCTCACCCCAAGGGAACATACTGTGCCAATAACCTGGCATAACAAGTTTGACATTTCTGCAAACAGGCTTGCAAAAAAAAAAATGTTATTTTTTTTTTAACAAGTAGCTTCGGAAAATTGGAAGCTTTTTAGTTACACCCCCAGTACCGCCCCCAAATTTCACAGTTTGGTTTACAACAGACAGAAGTATCCCTTAAAATGGGCAAGCTGCAAGCTGTTATGCTGTATTTCTAAAAAGGGAGAGGCATGGAAGTTATTTCTAACAGTTCTAGGCTCAAGAGAACGGATATATTACCTTGAGGGCAAAAAACTTAATGAACTTGTCCAGGTCCTTTCTGTCCTGGGAATTAAGATCAGTTTCCATTGCCTATAGGAATCTAAAACAGAAAAAAAAAAAGTGTTGAATAATGTGACTGTGTTTTAAAAGGGATTGCTACAACAAAGCATACAGAGATGGCATTGTCTACTAGCTGTATGAATACTCATGTAGGAGGTAAAACCTCCCCTCCCCTCGACTAAAGACACCAACATGAGAAACAGAAGATACTATCTTTTGAGGAAAATAAACTCCACACAAAGAGCTAAATCTATAGACCCAGAAAAAAGATGAGACAAGCCATTTTACCTGCATGTGAAACTTTGAGCTTTTAAACTTATTCATTGAAAAAGTTTTATTACCCAGCATATGGAAGACTAAGTTTTAATGAGGTGAAAACTTTATTAAAACATAAAATAAGTTAACATCCCTTCAACCAATCCAGGGATCAAACCCGTGTCTCTTAGGTCTCCTGCATTGGCAGGCAGGTTCCTTATCACTAGCGCCACCTGGGAAGCCCAACATTCCTTCAAAAGACCACTAAATCAATTTAACTTTGGGCGGGAGTAGGGTGGGGGTGGGTTGAGAAGGGGCTGGTAAGAAGAAAGTACTTAGGGGAGAGAAGAGCATGAACAAAGGCATATAAGCCACAGGAGAAAAATGGGCTTGGAACTATTAAGTACTCCAATTTTCCAGAGATTGGGTATGGCTGGTTTGGGCCATAGCACAAGCGTCTCAAATCCAGTGCTAGAGACTGACGCCAGAAAGGGGAGCACCCTCAAGGCTTTTGAGAAGAGGAAGCAGCACAATCCAAACGGCGCTTTAGAAAGAGCACTGTTGGCACCCTGTAGAATAGTTCTGAGCATGGAAAGCAGGGAAATCAATTAGGTCCTTGGCAATAATCCAGGCTTGTGGTCAGGGCTCAAAGTCCAAGAGAGACAAGATTTGGAAATATGGATGGGAGCTATTTTAAAGGAAGAGCTGACCAGATTTAAGGACTGAGTGCAAGAAGTTTAAGTGGGTTTCAGTTAACAAAAAAGAAAGTGAGAGGGAAAGCTAGTTTTAAGAAAAGGATAGAGTTGAAGCAGGAAATCATAAGTTTAAAACAACACTATTCTTTATTGAGGTGTGAACTTACACGCAGTTAAATGCACAAATCTTTAGTGTACAGCTCAATAAATATTTTATATGTAAACACTCATACAATGACAACCCAGATAGAGTTATAGAACATTTCCTATAAGCCAGAGGCTCATTTGTGTCCCCTTGGTCAATAAACCCACCGAGAAGTAACAATTATTTTAACCTCTATCACCATACATTAGCTTTGTCTGTTTTGAATTTCTTATAAATGGAATCAAATAGTATGAACTCTCCTGTTGTGTAGCTTCCTATATTCATTAAGATTCATTTATAATGCTGCATGTAGCAGTTCATTCTTTTTCATTGCTATGTAGCACTCCATTTTATGAATATACCACAATCTATAAATTCTACTGTTGATGAGCATTTGGGTTGTTTCCTGCTTTCAGCTACTATACTCTTACATGAGATTTTTGGTGAATAAAAACCCTCACTGGTATCAGATGTAAAGCCAGGAGCACTGATTTTGGGTCAGCAGGAATACCTTGTTTAATTTCACCTCACTTTACTGTGCTTCACAGATACTGCTTCCCCCTTTTTAAATTGAAGGTTTGTGTCAACCTTGTGTTGAACGAGTCTATCAGCGCCATTTTGTGTCTTGGTGTCATATTTTAGTAATTCTTGAAATATTTCAAACCTTCCACCACCAAAAAGATCACAATTCACTGAAGGCTCAGGTGATGGTTAGCATTTTTTAGCAATACTCTTTTTTTTTGGCTGTGCTGGGTCTTTGTTGCCGCGTGGGCTTTTCTCTAGTTGCAGCAAAGTGGGGGCTACTATGCAGCTGTGGTGTGAGGGCTTCTCCCGTTGTGGAGGACAGGCTCTGGGGCGTGCAGGCTCCAGGAGTTGCAGCCCCCGGGCTCCAGATCACAGGCTCAAGCGCTGCAGTGCATGGGCTCAGCTGCTCTGCAGCCTGTGGGATCTTCCCGGATCAGGGACTGAACACGTGTCTCCTGCACTTGCAGGTATATTCTTTACAAGTGAGACACCAGGGAAGCCCTAAAGTATTCTTGGTGAAGTTTTGTACGTTTGTTGTTGTTGTTTTTCTAAGGCTATACTGTGGGGCATGTGGGATCTTAGTTCCCCAACCAGGGATTAACCCGTGCCCCTGCACTGGGATCACTGGGCTGCCAGGGAAGTTCCTGCATGTTGTGTTTTAAAGACATAATGCTATTTTACTCTTAATAGTTTATAGTTTAAACACAACTTTTATATGCACAGGGAAACAAAAAAAATTCATGTAATTCACTTTATCACAGTGATCCGGAACCAACCCACAATACATCCAAGGTCTGCCTGTGTTTAGCTTTGACAATTACTGCCAAATGGTTTTCCAGGGTCTGTACCAATTTACATCACCACCACAAACACACCGGGGCTCCTGCGGATCCACAGCCACAGCACCACTTGGAGCTGCTGGTTCTTTCATTTTAGCCATCCTGGTAGGAGTGTGGTGGTATCTCATTTAATCGGCACTGAATGACTGATGATTAAATTAAATGCCTTTTTAAAGGCATTAACTTAATGCTTAAATGATGACGGCCTTTCCCCTACTGGCACTTTTTTCATGTGTTCGTTAGACATTTGGATATCCTCCTGTTTCACAAAGTGCTAATTCAAGCCTCTTGCCCACTTAAACAAATATTAAAGTAAAAATAAAAAGACCTTTTAAAGCTTTAAACAGCTCAAGGCGCTGAAGCAACCCAGCCATAGACCCGAGGTAAGAATAGTGCTGGAGGATTGTGCTGCCCCTAAAGTGGGGAAGTGTTCCTGCTATCAGAGAATCTACCGATGGAAACACTATAATGACATGACTCTTTCGACTTTTTGTACCACTGGAAGCACTAAAAGGATTATCCAATAACTAGAATTAGTTATTGACCCCGAAGTGGCGGTGGCGGGGGGGGGGGGGGGGCGGGTTGTCTCCACAGAAAGACACCAGTACTTATTCTCTCCTTAGGCCTACGATACCAAGGCTGTTAATTCATCCTCTACAATATACACGTAATAGGTGGTTTACCTTTGCTTTGTTCTTAGAAAATTCCTTCTTTGAGCGCTCCCAGGATTATAAAGGGAAATTTGGCACAAACATTAATGAGAGATCCACAGTTGAACTTTTTCCCCTGCCCTTTACTATGCTAACCAATTACCAAATCCTTCAAACTTTTGCTTATATAAAATCCTTTATATTTGTGGCATTTTCATTTCCATAGATAACCACCTTAATTCAAGCCTCATTTCTTATCTGGAAGAGACACCAGATCTCACTTTACCTTTGAAGAGGATCAGGCTATGCCATTCTAAAATATGCTACTTTGGCATAAAGATTATTTTAAGCTAAAGACATTTGAGATTCAACAGATGTAGAAAACCTTTTCAGCGCTTCCCTTATCTGACTAAAAGCAGAAACTTCTAAGAAATGAGGACTGCCATAAATTCTCATTTCAGGTTGGCGTCTACTCCCAGGAGAGAGACCAAGAGTAAACCTAATATAAATCCCCCATCTGGGGGAGTTTCATGGTCATGAAAAAGATAAAAGACCATTTGCATCCACACAAGCAAATATTATCACCAACTTTCTTATCTCCCATTTGTTCTCCTAAACATTCGTGTTTCCTAAAGAAACTTGTTTCTTCTTCCCATAAAAGCCTATTACCCCTCTCTCTCTTGGCATAGAAATTCCAAATTTTTACCACTTCTTTGAACTATTCATCATTGAGCACTCCTCTGGTATAAATTTTGCAGGCTTTAATAAACTCTCTCTTTTCTCGTGCTAATCTTGTTTGTTAGTTTAATTTGCACACACCGAACTACTGAACCTAAGAGGGTACAGGAAAAGTTTCTTCCCCAACCCTCTAGATTATATGGCAAACCTCAGGTAACCACTGAACGGTTAGACTAGTACAGCACTGTGTTGTCATATTGCTCTCCATATTGCCAGAATTTTGGCTAAACTCCTCAGTGTGACCTTTAAGATACCACATGCAAAATCAGTAGGGAAAACAGGGAAGTGATTTTTGAAAAGGCAGTTGGAAGCCTGTTGGCACTTTCAGGAAAGATATTGGACCCGAAACTAGCAAATAAAGGATGATCCTGGCCCAGGGTCTAGTGCTTGAATGTACATGCTCAAAAGAAACTAATTTTATTAGTTCAGTCAAGGTTTGGGGGGGACTTCAGTTACAGGAGGGAGAAGGCGATGGCACCTCACTCCAGTACTCTTGCCTAGGAAATCCCATGGATGGAGGAGCCTGGTGGGCTGCAGTCCATGGGGTCACTAAGAGTCGGACACGACTGAGCGACTTCACTTTCACTTTTCACTTTCAGGCACTGGAGAAGGAAATGGCAACCCACTCCAGTGTTCTTGTCTGGAAGATCCCAGGGATGGGGGAGCCTGTGGGCTGCTGTCTCTGGGGTCGCACAGAGTTGGACACGACTGAGGCGACTTAGCAGCAGTAGCAGTAGCAGCAGCAGAAGTTACAGGAGACAGTTTATATACATAAATGCAATTTATGCAATTTATTAATTGAGAAATAAAACTGCTAAATAGAAAGGAAGCATCAAGTGATTGACATGTTGCCTTTCTTAAAAGGAGACCATTTTGGGGAAACTAAAATTCTATCAATTCACAATTAGCTTCATATAGCTTTCTCCACCTTGGGGGCATGTTGGAATTCTGACACCAAGAGGCTAGAGAGGGTCTTCTTCTTGGCTAACAAGGCAAGTATTTGACTTTTTTCTTTCTCTTTTTTTGACTTTCTTTTCTTTACAGACAAGTATCCATATTAGTCATTGTTACCAACATGTTATAATTGCCAAAATGACCATCTACATTAAGACCCCCGGTGGGACAGGTTTTGAGAAAAATGCGCTGCTTAAGTCGCTGCAGTCTTGTCTGACTCTGTGCC